AAACGAAATAATTAATTCCCAATTATTTAATAATACTTAGTAGTATTCAATTATTTATTCAATCCAAGAATTAATTTTATTCCGTATCCGGCCTATCCGGGAGATCCCGTATTAGATATTATTTTAAAACTTAATAAGAAGTTATTAATAGAATAATTTAATTACCAATAGCTAATAATAGTGATGCTCTGATAATATTGTACTGTACTATCTGTACTACGGTCGAAATTTATACCACTCAAGTTATTCAACTATTGTGTTCGGTGTTCAGTTTGCTCAGATTTATTCACTCGTCAGTGTTTGTCTAATTGTTGTCAAATGTTTAATATTTATATTTTATACTAATATACTTATAGTTTTAACGTGCATACGTTTTCTTTATATTAGTTTAACCCATTTAATTAAATAAATAAAATTAAACAATACCTACTTAAAACTCAGAATAGGGAAATTATGTCCTCAAAAAAAGGTCATAGTCGTATACTTTTAAATTTTAAATAACGATAAAAGCAAAAATTGTATAACGTTTTAATTATGAATAACGATAAACGCAAAAATTGTATAACGTTTTAATTCTGAATAACGATAAACACAAAAGTTGAATAACGTTTAAATTTTGAATAACGATAAACTCAAAATTTGTATAACGTTTTGATTGTAAATAACGTAAAACAAAATTTATTTTTCAAATGCAAGCCCTGGTAAATATTGAAAAAATACAAAACTAAACAAATATAAACTATAGAAACTTTAATTACCTATATATATATATTTTGGTAAACATCTAAAAAACAAATACTGCCTACATTTTCTGAGGTTGCAGATTTAATGGAGCACTTGTTCCATAATTTTTATTAAATAAACAATAATAAAAAATCCACTTTTTTTTCCAAGACACTACTTTTATAATTTATACAAAATGTAATTAAGTTGTTTTTGTGTTCCAACAGTTGTAAAATATGATCTCAATAACGATTTTTCTTTATCCATTTGAATCCACGGAAGTAAATTACCTACGTACAAAAAATAAAGGGAATAATATTTCCTAACATTAATACAGGTGGGTATTGTTGGATGGTACACTTAGATGTATAAAAAAAAAGTGTACGCCGTTTCTTGATGAATATAATGACTAAATGACATTATATTTTTTCTCTGGTTTATTCAATTCTGTTTGATATATTTTACCTGCAGCAAGAATAACGCGTGGAATAGCTGTTACCTACTACCTACCTACTCCGTTGAAAAGTTAAAGTGAACGACACTTTGAAAAACATTTTCTTTAATATTATTACGCCTATTTTGATATTCTTTCATCATTTTGAGTGGATACTTTTAAAATAATTTTTGTTAGACTTTTATCCAGTGTCACCGAAACCTAAGTATGTGTAGCGGGCAGTCACCCATATAATATATTATTCTTACATATAAAATTCGGCGCATCCGAGTTGGGTCCCGAATTCTAGGAGCTAATCGCAGGTAGTGTACTAGTTGGGTCCCGGATTTTAAAAGGTGCTATACTAGTTGGGTCCCGAATTTTTAAAGGTACTATACTAGTTGGGTCCCGAATTATTATAGTTCCTGAATATTTGTTGGTAAGTACTACACTATACTAACATTTTCATTCCCATTTTAACAGACTGTCTATGATCTATTTAGACCACAGGTATGGTTAAAAATGTTTTTTACAGTTATTTTTAAATATTAAAGTATAAGTAATTGATAGTTAGTAAAAATATTTTAATAATTTTAAATATTATACAATAATATTAATACAATTTTATTAAATTGAAAAGTAAATGAAAAGTACTTATACGTATATAATATGCCTATTGGGATATTCGTAATAAAAAAAGACGTAAGTGGTTTTCGAGCATTCGTGTAATAATTTCAATGTTATCGGGAATATCTGATAATTTTTGACATATGTTATAATAAACTATCTGGAACAGCGATAAATGCCGGTTAAACCTCGACGAGTTGGTTAGGTTAAAAAAAAACTGTAAAAAACATTTTTAACCATACCTGTGGTCTAAATAGATGATAGACAGTCTGTTAAAATGGGAAGGAAAATGTTAGTACAGTGTAGTACTTACCAACAAATATTCAAGAACTAGTGTTGTAGCTAAAATAATTCAGGACCCAACTAGTGTAGTAACTATAAAAATCCGGGACCGAACTAGTGTAGTACCTAAAATAATTCGGGACCGAACTAGTGTAGTACCTAAAATAATTCGGGACCCAACTAGTGTAGTACCTAAAATAATTCGGGACCCAACTAGTGTAGCAATTATAAATTCGGGACCCAACTCGGATGCAGCCATAAAATTGGTGGGAGGGGGTTTCCTTTAAGTCTTTGAGAGTACCTTTTTTAACAGCGGTAGATAAGTCATAGCTATAGAATATAATCCCAAAATATTCTGTTTAGAAAATGAATCATTGCCCTACCAACAATAATACAATGGTAGTACATATACATAAAATGCAATGAATTTTGATCTCAAATTAAAACCACAGCCTCTCAACTCTCAACCTATAATCCACTTGTTAAAAATCTCAGTCACCAGTCTCCACTCAATTACCGGTAATACTCCAAATAGACATTTTATAGGTAGGTAAATTATGTTTTGAATTTTGATTTTCTAGATTCATATTTAAATGAACAATTTACCAAGTTAATACATTACTGCGTCATTTTAAAAAAGTGGATCTACATTTAAAGAGAGAGAAAATCAATCCATCCGAGTGTCTCTCCTCAAAGTTTTTCTTTGTTCAGCTAGGTAGTCTTATAGATTGTATATTATTTTATTTCACAGTTTTAGTCGTATTTCAACATTTTAAGAATTTATTTAACTTTGACATATTTAAGTGTTTGTACTTTGTATCAATGTTTTTTAAACCATCATTAATTATTATTTTGTAAACACAATTATCTGATTATACCGGTATACATACTCTACCGTGAGTACCTAACATACAATATACAATAAACTAATTAGCGGGTGTCACTATTTTCAGCAAAAATGTACCAATAAGATTTCGGTCAAAACTAACTAATTCGTTTTCAGCCAGTTTAGTTTTCTTTAAAATGTATAAATATAATAACTGAACTGAATGCTGCAAATACTGTACTACCACTCAAATATTGAATATTATCATTACCTCTGTACTCTGTTATTATTAATTATGTATTAAAACAAAATATTTAAATTAATAAAATGTGTACAGTTTATTTTCAATGTCATGAAATATACCTACTTCAAAGTTCAATGATTACACTTAATTTTTACAAACCCCAAGTAAATAAGTAAGTTCTATTAAAAATAATTTAATATTTCTGAAATTTTAAATCAATGTATACTACTAAAGTACTAAACTCTATTTTCTATACTTGATTGAAAAAAAAAACTATAAACGAAATTAAACTTAAAGACATTGAAACTCGACAATTTAAAAAATAATAAAAGTGTTCAACTAAAAATTAATTTTTTATTTGACTAAGGTAATAATATTTGGGTCGCAATCAGCTCATAACACAAAAAGACCATGTGGTTAAGGGTGCCTTTACGACCTTGAATAAATATATAATGACAATAATAAATGTATGAATAAAAAATTATAATTAGCCCTGTTGGCTCAGCAATTTAAATAATATAATATTATAAGTAATACAGCCCTGCTGGCTCAACAATATAACATAATAATAATACAATAAATAATACAGCCCTGCTGGCTTAATAATACAAAATAATATGATATAACAAGATTATAATAAATAGTATAATGCGGCTCGTCAGCCGTTTACCTGCGAGCTGCCGTCCGTTAGCGGCTTCGAACCTAACGCTACCGCCTCGAGATGCACACCTTTGCACAATAAAATAATACAATGTATAATAAAATGTGTGGCAATCTCGAGAACGTACGACTAACGGGCCGACAGCTCAGACGAATAATTCACTGACATTCACAAACACAAGGAACACGTGCTTCTGCAAGTATGTCTCTCTCCACCCTAAATGGGGAAAATATATTAGAAGTGCACAATGTAGTGACTATGAACGATACTTACAGAAGCGACTCACGACACAAAGAAGACTGACGAATAATGACAAAACATGAAACCTGGCGAATAATAACTAAGAAAACACAGCCGAATGCGCATAAAAGACAATGTGCAAATGTATTATGAAACGAAAAAACTGACACAGGCTGTCACAACCTGCTCGAACGGCGGAAAAAGAAGAACAAAAAACGGCCAGTCCGTCACACGGTTTTAACGAATCGGAACGAAGACAACATGAAGTTTGAAACGATAGCTCAGTGCCACCTACACAAATGAAAACACGCGAACTTATGGAACTGTCGGTGACACTGAGGTGAATGACTTTAGAAAATACACGAAACATAACCGAACTTTTTCGACAGCACACGCACGGCACGAAACAACGAAAAACAATTTAAACTAAAAATGAGATAACGGCCGCACGCACGCACCGGCCAGTTATCACACATCAGCTGTTGTCAACCGCACCGCGGTGTCGCACGATACGAACCGATACCTCAACACAAAACTCATAGAACGAAAACCCCGCCAAACGATTATAATTTAAAAAGCCAATGTTGGCGACAACAATATTTGTTCGGACCAGACAACGGCAGAGTGCGCCAGCTAATTGTCAAAATATAATTAATAAACCCGGTTGCGAGCACGCCTGCGCCGTCGCATCCGTGCCCCGTTCGCGCCGTGTCTCCTGCTCAGTCTGCTATTTTGCTCGCGTGGTCACGATCCCCGATACCGGTCGTCGTACATTTTTCTTTTTATATTTGCCATCGATGGCACGTCACGGGGAGAATTAGATCGTCGATGTATCGTGCGAGTATGTAGCCTACAGCGGGTAAATGATTGCTTATGTACAGGTCCAAAATTACAGACTGAAATCAGCGATATTTTACTTCGTAGCAGATTCTACAAATACGTGTTCGTCGCTGATATTGCGAAAATGTATCGGCAAATCAGAGTACACGACGAGGATTGTGTCTATCAACATATCTTGTGGCGTAGGTCACCGGAAGAAGAAGTGCAGGAGTACCAATTGTTAACTGTCACCTATGGCGTTAATTCGGCTCCGTATCTCGCGCTGCAATGTCTAAGTCAGCTTGATCTAGAAGACGGTGCAGATTTTCCCCAGGCAAAGGGCCTGTTAACTTTTAATACTTATGTTGATGATATAGTTGCTGGTGCCAATAGCGTAGAGGACCTGTTAGCCGTACAAAGGGACCTCGTTAATTTATTACAGCGAGGCGAATTTGAGCTGAAAAAGTGGGCCAGCAACTGCGGTGCCGTGCTGAGGTGCATACCAATCGAGGATCAGGCCATAGAACCAACTTTTACACCAACTGAGGACACGGCTTTGAAAGTGTTAGGAGTACATTGGGATCCTACGACCAATACCTTTGGATATCACGGAAACACCAACGAAGGGTCGATTACCAAAAGGACAGTGTTGTCTACAATCGCACGGCTGTATGACCCAATCGGCGTGCTAGGTCCGGTCTTACTGTGGGCTAAAGGGTTGATGCAAGATCTATGGATCGAGAAACTTGGATGGGACTCCCCATTACCCACATCATTACGGTTGAAGTGGCTGCAGTTCCTAGACGAGTTACCGTTGTTGTCACGTGTTTGTTTACCTCGTCATATCGATATCCGTCGAACCAATGAAGTGCAGATAGTGGGTTTTGCCGACGCCTCACAACGCGGATATGCAGCACTGGTATTTTTATGGATAGCTGACAACTTGCATGTTTATTTTCTCACATGTAAAACTAAGATAGCACCATAAAAGGTATCACAAATTGATGTCGCAGTGACAATTCCTAGGCTCGAATTGTCCGCGGCTCTACTTCTGGCCAGACTGTTGTCGCACAATTTTGAACTATTGAAATCCATAATTACCTTCAACAAAATCAGAGCCTGGACGGATTCCACAATTGTTACAGCATGGCTTAAGCGAGAACAAAAGCAGTTTAAAATATTTGTTACCAATCGGGTGGCCAAGATACATGCATTGATGCCCAATTGTGAGTGGGCTCACGTGAACACGAATGAAAATCGGATGCCTCTCATTGGCCGGTGGTGCCATCTACAGAAGTTACGGTATCATCAGATGAATTACCAGAACTTAAGAACTCGGTACAATACATACTGCATATCCATGAAGAGGAGAGTCACTGGATGGAACGCTTTTCTTCCCAGTCCAGGATGCAACGGGTGATAGGGTACTGTCTTCGATTTATTCATCGAGCGGGAAAGCGTCCTGCGTCGTCGGGACCTATATCACTTGCAGAACAATATCAAGCTTTATATAGAGCTATTAAATATACCCAACAGGTGTATAATTTTGACTTATACAAGCAAATCAAGGCGTGCCGAGACATTGTGCCAGCAACTTTAGCTCAATTGGCTCCCTATGTAGACCAAGCGGGGTTAATTCGAGTTGGGGGACGATTGAAACATTAGACACTAGAAGACAACGCGAAACACCCAATATTGCTACCACAACGGTGCCATCTCACATTGATGATCATTCGGTATTATCATCAGCTATTGTTACACGGTGGGACAGGAGTGGTATTGTCTATGATAAGCCGACGATATTAGATAGTTTCGGGCAAAGCAGCTGTACGCCGAGCAGTATATTCATGTATTCCATGTACTAAATATCGGGCCAATACTCCTCAACCCTTTATGGTGGACCTTCCTGCTTCCTGGGTCACCGCAAATCGGCCATTTTATAATGTGGGCACGGACTATGGAGGTCCATTCATCATGAAGGAGAGCCACCGGCGCGGATCCCGGACTCACAAAGCATATCTGGCTTTATTCGTATGTATGGCAGTGAAAGCCGTACACTTAGAAATTGTGAATGATCTATCAACGGATTCATTTCTCGCGGCATTAGACCGTTTTACTTCTAGCCGTGGAATCCCAGCCCACATTTACACTGATTGTGGAACAAACTACGTTGGGGCTGCAAAACAGATCAGGACATTGCTTAGCACAGATGAGGCTCGTCAGGCAGTTTCTGCCCGAATTAAATGTGAATGGCACTTCAACCCGCCGGCCGCGCCCCACTTTGGTGGACTGTGGGAGGCTGCAATCAAAAGCACAAAGACACATTTGAAAAAGGTTGTGGGAGCTCAAACATATACCATCGAGGAGATGACGACACTAGTGGTAAGAATTGAAGGTGTCTTGAATTCTCTGCCATTACAACCCCTGTCTAGTGACCCACACGATTTGGAGGTCCTCACTCCGGGACATTTCCTAATTGGTCAGCCACTCTTAGCCATGCCCGAAGAGAATATTATAGATGTGGCCACCAACCGATTAGGACGGTGGCAGCTGATTCGCCAGGCACTCCAATCGTTTTGGCATCGTTGGAGTCATGAATATCTTCAAACATTGCAGAGACGCAAGAAGTGGTTCAAGCACACTGAGAATTTGTCAATAGGAGATTTAATCGTGATCCATACACCCAATCATCCACCTATGTCATGGAAGTTGGGACGTATCGCAGAGGTACATCCAAGCCCAGACAAAGTCATTCGCGTAGTAACACTTCAAACGACCGACGGCCTTCTGAAGCGGCCAGTTGTTAAGGTTACCAAACTACCCGTGTAAGATGACCGCCGCTAGGAACATTGATGCGTTTGGACGTTCCATATCCTTATATGCATTACCTACCATTTGTACCTTCATTTTATTGTATTAATCATATTTATTATATTATAATGTTTTGTTTTTTTTGTGTTATATATATATATATCCACAAGCGTGGTTTGTTTGTTTTATACTCATTTATATTTGTTATATTATTCTAAGCTGTAATATCATAAATTATAAGCTTCGTTTGAAAGGCGTCCTTTCAAAGGCGGGAGGATGTTCGGACCAGACAACGGCATCCGTGCCCCGTTCGCGCCGTGTCTCCTGCTCAGTCTGGTATTTTGCTCACGTGATCACGATCCCCGATACCGGTCGTCGTACATTTTTCTTTTTATATTTGCCATCGATGGCACATCACGGGGCGAATTCGGTCGTCGATGTATCGTGCGAATATGGTGCCTACAGCGGGTCGTGTGCGTACAATATAATATTTAGTCAATCGACTTCACGTGATCTGTCTTTGGGTGCACCCGTCAATAGTATAACATGGTCTGCACCTGCGCGGGCGGTGTGTAGCTTTGTGTTGGTTTCTGGTGCACCGGGCAAGGGTTGTTTATGATTCTTTCATTTATTTATATCGCGCGCGGGTGCGAAGGTGAGTGCATCGGGCCTCCCAAATTTGGTGCCGAAAACGACATTGTGGGCCAACCAGCAGCTGCACATGGATCGCGGGATTGCGGCAGTAGTTCAAGGTTTTCACACATTTCAACATTTGGAGGTTATGGTTCGGTTGGCGGCACTCTGACGGTAACGCGTAGCATATGAGTGATACACGATATCTTTATCATTTGTATTATCATTTTGTATTATCATTTTTTGTATTATCATAAATATTGTTATTTATTGTTAGTATACTCGTAACATCACGGATTAAGGTTCCGTCCTTTTATTATTATTATTGTTGTGTCTTGTACAACAACTTTGATTTAAAAAGATAAGAAACGCTACTTTTAATTACATTTCTTTATTTGAGAAAAACGTGCCATACATGAAATCATAAAATCACATTGTTTAATGGGTCTCAGGAAGACTCATACAATACAAGTGTGTATCTAAAACAGTGTTACCTTTTATGGTATCATTAATATTATATAACACTTCACCACTAAAAATAAAAATTGAATATAATATGAAAATTGAACATTTAATATTACAAATGAAAACTTATAATAACATAAAAATAATAGAAATAATATAAAAACATGTATATAATATAGTATATAAATATAACATGAACATGATAAACTAATACAGAATATTAAATAATAATATATAATTATGAGTGTTGGTAAATACCATTACAAAAAGACAAATGAGACAAAATACAATTAACCTAAAAAGGGTTATTGATAATATTTAGCTGGTTTCCTAATAGTTATCTTGGGTCTTTGTTGGTTATTAGTGGTATTTAAGGTTGTTTCAGAAATCGGACTTTTATAACTATTATTTGTTGAATCAGTGTTAGTATTAGAAATTTGTTCATGATTGGATTGTTTAATTTTTAACATTTGATCTATATGACGTTTCCAAATGTGATTTTCGTCTGTGGTGACTTGATAATTTCTAGTGCCTAATATTTTTGTTACTACAGCTGTTTTCCACTTGGAACTTGGAGATCTATAATCCCTTACTAACACTTTTTCATTTATATCAAAAACGACATCTCTCCTTCCGCTATTTTTAATTAGAGTAATTTGTTGACCTAGGACTATGTCGTCAATTTGTGGTTTAAGTAGATAAAAAATGAATCTTACTGACTTGCCTAATAGAATCTTAGTAGGAGTTTCCTTTGTGGTAGTATGAGGAGTGTTTCTGTATTGAAACAAAAATTTACTCAATTCAACATCTAAATCAGATTTAACAGGACTTTTTATAATTTTCTTAATAAAATGTTTAATTATTTTTACAGCGCTTTCAGCAGCACCATTACTTTGCGGATGGTAAGGGGCTCCAACTAAATGCATGATACCATACATTTTTAGGAAAGAATGGAAAACTTCATTAGAAAAACATTTAGCACCATCGGATGTAATTGATTTAGGTAAACCAAATCTAGAAAAAACTTCAGTTAAATGCTTAATGACTGTGGTAGTGTTAAGAGAATTTACTTTGAAACGTTCAATCCACTTGGATGTGGCATCAACTAAAACAAAAAAAGTTTGACCGAAAACTGGCCCTAGAAAATCAATATGAATTCTTGTCCAAGGTTTAGTTGGCCATACAAAAGGTTTTAGAATTACTTTTGGAGGAATTGCTCTATTTTCACAACATACTTCACAGCTACTAGTTAACTTTTCGATTTCACTATCAAGTAAAGGCCACCAAAAATAGGCTCTAGCCAAACTTTTCATTTTGGTTGTACCCTGATGTGATTCATGTAACTGATCTAATAATTTATTTCTAAACTTAGCAGGAATTATTACCCTGTAACCCCACATTAAAACGTTTTGTTCTATAGTTAACTCATTTTTTCTTTTATAATAGGGTATTATATTTGGATCTTTATTGGAATCATTTGACCAATTATCATTAGAAACATAATTAATGATTTTTGCCATGATAGGATCAGACCTAGTCGCTTTTTTAATTTTGAACCAGTCTAAAATCCAATTTGATTCATCATTTATATAATTTAAATAATTAGTGTTTGCTTCTATGTCTATTTGTTTACTTTGTATAGATAATCTAGATAAATAATCAGCTGGATTATTATTAGTGGAAACCCATTTAATATCGAATTTGTAAGCCATCAAAATATAAGCCCAACGCTGTAAGCGGTTTGCAGCAATAGTGGGAATGCCCTTTTTTGGATTTAAAATGTGTGCAATGGGCCTATTATCTGTTACTAAAGTAAAATGTTTTCCAAATAGATAATCATGAAATTTTTTAACAACAAAAATAATTGCTAACCCCTCTCTTTCTAACTGTGGATATTTTTGCTCAGCTTTTGTTAATAAGTGTGATGCAAATGCTATTGGTCTTTCTGTATTATCATTATAAACATGTGATAAAATGGCACCAACCGCAATACTAGATGCATCAACAGTTAACTTTAATGGTAATTCAGAATCAAAATTAGCTAAAACTCTGTTAGAAATTAGAAGTTTTTTTATTTGATTGAAAGCATTATTACATTTATTAGACCAAATAAAATCCTCTTCCTTTCTAGTCAATTTATAAAGTGGTTCTAAAAGTTCAGCTGAATTGGGTATATATTTGATATAATAAGTAACCATACCTAAAAAACTTTTCAACTAAGATAAAGAAATAGGTACACTAACATTTTTAATGGCTTCAATATGTTTTTCAGTGATATGTATACCGTTTTTATCCAAAAAATGACCCAAATATTCAATGGAATTTTTAAGAAATTTACACTTTTCAACTTTAACTTTTAAACCAGAATTTTGAAGTTTGTTTAACACAGCCTCTAATCTATTATTGTGTTCTAATCTAGTTTTACCAGAAATAGATATATCATCTTGAAAAACTGTGACAACATCCATGTCTCCAATAGTTTGTTCTTAGACTCGTTGAAATATGCTAGCAGCACAATTTATGCCAAATGGTAGCCTAGTGAAAGCGTACCATATGTAAATGTGTATTTATTACAACTAAATTTCTAGACTCTTCAGATAAAATTAACTGTGCATAAGCATCTTTGAGATCAATTTTGCTAAAATAAACACCATTGGTATGTTTTGTGAATAAACAATCAATTTTAGGTAAAGGGTATTGGGTTCCTACTTCCTTGTAAGACAGGGTTCAAGGTTACACTAAAATCCCCACATAATCTGACTGTATTATCTGGTTTAAGAACTGGAACAACAGGGGTTGCCCATTTGGAATGTTCAACTGGAATTAAAACACCATTCTTAACCAATCTATTTATTTCAATTTCAACTTTGTTTTTTAACGCAAAGGGTACAAATCTGGGTTTAAAAAACTTTGGTGTACAATTTTGGTCTACAAAGAGAGTAATTTTATACTTTGAGAAAATACCTAAACTTTTTACAAAGACCTTGGAGTATTTTTGACATAATGATTTTATATCTTTTGGTTCATCGTTATTATATAACAAATTTACATAATTAACATCTTGAGTTATAGACAGATTTAGTTTTTTAAAATCATTCCTACCAATAAGTGGAGGTCCTCCATTTTTAATAACATACAAAGTAATTTGGCCTTTATTGGAATTACATTCAAATTTTAAATTGAGTTTGCCTAAAGGTTTAAAATGCTTGCCAATATAATCTTTTAAAATAATATCATTTTCATTTAATTTAATGTGATTAAAGTTTTTAAAATAACAACTTTCACTTATAAGAGAATGCAAACTGCCAGTATCAATTTGAAATTTAACATTTATGTCATTTAGTTGTAAATTTAGTTCTAAAGGCTTTATTGCTTCATTACTTGATTCAGAAATTAATTTGAAGTTGTCTGATACACCCAAAAAAATGTCATCGTCATCAGAACTATTACTTTTTTTTTTTATATAATGAGTATTGTAAGTTTTATTTTTTTGGTTAAATTTATTTTTATTTTTATTTTTACACATGGGAGCTAAATGTCCCACTAAATGACATATATTACACAAATAACCTTTGTACTTACAATTGTTTGATTTATGGTTTTGACGACCGCATACCTACTTGACATTTTTGTTTGTGGGTTTCGCCCGAGGTTTCGCCAGCTTGATCCTTCTATGAGTTCTTTGAATACTGTTTATTGGTTATCTTCTTAGTGGATTTCTTGAGGGTAACTTTATTTCCTTTTACAAAATTTACTTCATTTGGTTCTTGATTATTTTTCGCAGCATTTTTACTGGCCATTTCCTTAGCAAGAGCGATGTCCATCATTTTATTCATAGTGATAATTTTGTTTGTGGCATCTTCTTCGAATAATCGTTCTTTAAATTGTTTATCAAGACCAAGAGTGAAAATGTCTATTAAAACAATATTTAGTTCAGTACCAAAACCAAATGGTATGGATAAGGTGCGTACTCGAGCAGCCCATTCTGCAACCGTTTCCATAGGATTTTTCTCCGCTCTGTAGAATTCATATCTGGCAGAAAAATACGATTTTACCGGCGTGAAATGTGCATCTAATAATTTGATTAGATAATTGAATGATTTTGCTTCAATGTCCAAAGGCACACATAAACTTGAGAGTAAGGACAACGTTTCGTCACTCAGCGCAGTTATTAAAATGGCTTTCATTTTGAGGTCACTTGAAACATCACCAGCAATAAAACTATTTGTTAACTTTAATTTAAAAGTTTTCCATTCGCCGGAACGGTGATCAAATGACATGTGGTTAAGTCCAACATATGCCGTCATATTATTACCCGCGTTGTTACCAAACGCAGTGTTTGACACACTTGTTTCCGAATCTGCGGATTTGTTTTTCACCATCTTCGTCGCCAAATTTGTTGTGTCTTGTACAACAACTTTGATTTAAAAAGATAAAAAACGCTACTTTTAATTACATTTCTTTATTTGAGAAAAACGTGCCATACATGAAATCATAAAATCACATTGTTTAATGGGTATCAGGAAGACTCATACAATACAAGTGTGTATCTAAAACAGTGTTACCTTTTGTGGTATCATTAATATATAACAATTATCAAACTACATTTGTTTTATATAGTAGATGGACGCCTACTCCCCGTGTTGTAATATTTGTACCATAATTATCATTTGTTCATGTTTGTGATGTGCTGTTATATACTCAATACAGTCCACTGATGTTTGAACTGACAAAAAAGGGGTACTGGATAAAAAGGGGGCGCCCAATACACCTACTGGGTTAGTTCCGGAAGGAAAAGGTAAGATTTCCAATTTTTAAATGACCTGAATCAGTTGCTTATAAATTATGACTGTATAGACATTTTTGCACTCACAGGTGTTTCTATACTGTTTTAAAACCCGATAGTTGTAAAAAAAAAAAGTATAATGATACATCATTTACTCACATCAGTTATATTTTCGTATCATTATCAATTCTGTCTATCCATCTCTTCTTAATTCGACCATAATCTCTCCCTCTATCCTTCTACGTTAAATTCCATAGCCTCTCTTGCTAGCTCCATGTCACTTCTTTTCATAACATGACCAAAAACCATCCCAACCTATTCTCCCTAATTTTGTCTAGAAGCAATACAATTTAATAAATTGTTTATACAAAAAAATATATATTTTTCGATTTGAAAATTTAATTATATGTAATTATCAATTACATCATGGAAGTACAATAATTATTACTGACTAACTAAATTAACAATAAGATGGAAACAAATATTAAATTTCACATAAGTGTAGAGGTACACACATACAAATTGAACATGTTGTGTCAAGCACTCGTGTGCCATTAAATTTATTAAAAAAAAAATGTTAATTTATAGTTCAATGTAATTTATAATAGCTAAATATAAATACTTATTACAGCTGTTTATTAGAACAAGATTAAAATTGAAATTTTTGCTGCCCAACAAAATACATCATACCACTCTGTGTCTTTGACAAAAAAAAAGGTTGTGAATTTTTGTATGCCTGAATTGATTTGAAATTGGGTATAAATTGTATATTTATTTAACAGTTAATGAAAAAGCTGGTTATTTATATAAATATTGGTCTGATTGAATATCAAATTTCGTACACGGTGTTTGTGAACCCTTGCGGAGGCCTGCAACTATGTTTTGAAATCCCATAAACGCTGAACTACAACTACAGTCGTTGTTAATGTCATCAAGATCGAGATACCGGACAACTACTCCACTGTCTTGATTAAGTGCAAACGTTCCCTATAAAACCATAAAAAAATATGATTAAATAAATTTAATAATAATAACTATTTAAATCAGACAAATTAATTTCTAGAATACGGCTAGAATTAGTTCTTTAATCACATTATACGTATGTACATAATATTGTGTTGCTAAAGTTTACAATCGATGGCCAGTTACAGTATGAAATTTATATTTTAAATGCCAATCATCTGCTTCATCATAATAGCTTTTAGGACAACATATATTTTATATGGATTCATTGCACATTATCTACACAAAAAGTGGAATTTTGGCTTTACTAAACTATATCTGTAAAATATTTATACTCTTAATATATTAAACGGTAACTAAATTGGTAGAGCTACAAAAATATTTTTTTAATTTGTTTAGTGGATTTTAATTTCTAAATTAAAAACTGAAATCATGCTAATACAGAATTTTTAAAAACCTATTAAATATATTATCAAAAATAAATAAAAGATTTTCATTTTATACAAGTTTAAAAATCTAGAAAATATATTTATTTTCGATATAAGTACTTAGAGACTGCCAGTCTGCTTGTACAAAGTATGATACAAATATAGTAATCATAATATAAAATAACGATCATTTGGCGATCATATATACATATGTATGAAATTTCAATTGGTTTAAATTATTTTGAAAACTAATATTTTAGTCCAACATTTATGATTTTACCTTGTCAAAAAAATTTATTGTATTTTGTACACACGAATTTGAAATATTCAATTTTCCTTGACACACCTAAAACATATTAAATGTACCTAATGAAAGAATCAAATGTGTTTTCTTAAAAATATTGAAATCTACGATACTTTTGCATATGTATTCACCGTATTTGGAGAACTTGCGTCTACTGGAGCTAATTCAATCTCATAGGTGATTTTTGTAAGACATATTTTTGTTGACTTTAGATATTCTGCTACTTCTTCCTAAAAATTATCAATTAAGATGGTGTCATTACAATTTTTAATTGACATTATTAGATAGTTATATATTCTTGGTTTATGCCAAATCATTCATTGATTAATATATTCTCACAAGGTATCTATAACTTTTTTATCAACTTACACCTTTATTTCTTTTCCTGCTTTTCATATTATTTCTTATTATATTGTTTACTATATTATTACTCGCCACTTATTTAACGCCGACCACCCCTGGACTATAGGATACAACTTACCTTTTTGAAGGAATTAGAGAACAATTTTGCTTATAACCTCCTCCCCACCCAAATATCCCATAGGCAATCGTCCCCTCAAAGATTTAAAGAAATTTCAATATTAACAAAATACTTTAAATATTGTTACCATTCCCAACATATGATTATCGTTAGGTTCAGCTTTCGTAATTTGACTACAGCCGTTATAAAGTTTGGGATTACATGGATTCATAAAACTCGTCTGTATTTCATAGAAGTCTACTAAATCGTTCATTTCTTCAAAATTATACACTAAAAAAAAAAAAAGAATTAAATTTAAGTTATAATATAATTTTTAAATAAAAAAATTAAATTCTTTATTTTAAAATTGAAATAACTTTACGACTACGATATTATAACTAATTCGATGTTTGCCTAAATATAAAATAACTATAATGATCTGAAACAATGAACAATGGGTAATTTTTGAAATTATATCGGTATGTTTATTACCAAGAGGCTAATTAAAATATAAACGAAAAAAATCTCCAATATTTTCTAGTATTGTATCTTAATGATTTCAATTGGCGAAATGAAAGAGTGTCAATCAAAAACGTACATACAATTTTCCAAAATAATTGTGTAATTTATTAATTGATGAAAAACGGAAAGATAGGACGTCTCCCAAGCGCCTACATTTATAGCATTCACACAACATATAAATTAACAAAATTAAATGATCAAGCAAAACATTTTATAAAATCTATACATTAGTATACAAAATATAATACATATCACGTACCGTATGGATTCTGTATATACGACTGCAGCGTTTGTACCATAACACCGATTATGAAGTCAGGACTGCATTTTAATTGTCTTATATATGGTATAATGAATTTTCCCACATTTGTGTTTGAATAGTTCGTCCTTAGCATGCAAAAACGAGAAGAATCGAAAGGTTAAAAGTTAAAAATAGCTGGTACTTTTTAAAAATGGAAAAAAAAAAATAAAAAAATAATTGTTTTGAGTATTTTTATGTAATACCAGTTTTATCCTTTATCGATTACATTTTTTTTTCGTAATTCATAATTGTTCGAACGCGGCTGATTTTCCCGCCGAATCAGCACATCGCCCAAAGGCTTTACAAGTCTCCGCGATCGGTGTGGAGTGTCCGCGACAGGTCATCCCCCCTCTACACATCCGTGGCCGACGATGTCCACTCCAACCTTCGTCCGTCCGCTTGCGAAGTTTTTGTCTTTTGCCAACGGCTGAACCTGGCGGGTCCAGTTCGCTCGCCTGTTCGCCACATTTGTTTTTTCTTTTGTCAACCGCGTGGTCAACCGACCTTATTTCTGGTCGTTCGCATAACTGTCCATTTTCTTTTACGTGGTGTACGCGACAATCGTCGCAAGTCCCGAGACAGTCAGGGCTTGACGTGTGCGTCCCATCCGTCATTTAGTATCGAATATCGATGATCCATTTATTGTGACACTGCCATCATACTTTCTCCATACGTGCCACCACGGGCGCCTTACCAGTCCATACTACAGCGTGGCTTTGCCGAGTTGCAGACAGCAGTACAGGTCATACTTTTTGTTCTCATTTATTGTTATTAATTATTGTATATATTTTATATTGTATGTATTCAGACAAATAAGTTGTGATTTAATTATTAAGAGTAATACGGGCCCGCACATTATTATTTATTATCATTTGTCATTGTTATATACGCCGTGTTGTGATTAATATATTATGTCTGGCGCACGGCGTCTGTTTATTGTATCATAATTTGTATTTTGTATTATTGATATTTTCACACCGTGAGGTACCTGTATATTCCAACACTCCGCAAGTCGTGGCCGACAACCGCCGCCCTTGTAGGAGCGGTCGCGGCGCAACAATAATGGAAAAAGTAGTTATTATTGTTATTTAGGTGTAGGTTATTCAAAAAATATTAACGGTACAGTCATATACTCATTTAGATGAATTATTCTACTTTTATTCATATTATCATTTAATATAAATAGGCACACAGTGAAATTTTCAAAATTCCGAGAGTTGTTTAGCTATTCATAAACATCTGACATTTTAGAATTTTAGATTCCGTGTAGACCAATGAATATATTTATTTTACAATGAAGTGTATTTTTTTTGTTCTTCAACCCATCAAGAGTATCTATTTGGTATTTTTCAGAAGTAAAAGTGTACAATAAAAATGAATAATCAGGAAAAACTAAGAAAATCGGGTTTTTGTTGTTATTCAAAAACAAATAACCTTAGTGATATCAAATTGTAAAAAATATTCAGAAGAGAGGATATAACTTTCAAAATATTTGTGTGATATTTAAAAATATTTGAAAATATCTTAGATGAAGAGGTTAAATGGAATGTTTCGTATGCAATATTATTTCTCTTAATTTGAATTTAATACATCTACAGTGACCTACTCACTGAGAGGTAAACTCTAAATCTGCTATATAATAATATGAAAAAGTATTTTTAAATAATTTATCAGGTTTTTGGACAATTTTGTCGTAGGCAGTTTTATTTTATAGTCACCATAACAAAATATAAGCCCTAAAGCAAAACTACTTTACTTTTAATGATATTAATACTAATTAACATTTTTAAAAAGGGAAAAGGTATGTTATAAGGCATAAGTTATAACATTTTCGGTATGTATGATAGTTTTTTATGGGCACAAGTTAAATACATACGTATTGTAGCGTAAGCTCATCTATTATGTATCCCGCAACATTGTTTTTTATTGCAAAATCACATAAATATGCTGTCTCGTTAACATTGCCGTCAGAACCCAATATTTCACCCCACTCCGAGAACCCTCGATATCGCGAAATAACGATTAGCACAGGTTTATTTAATTCAACCATTGATTTAAGAGACTCTGAAACATATTTATTATATCTGTTGGTATACTAAATTCTGTATGGTCACAAACTATATAAACTAATAATCAACCAAATTATTTGTTTGATTTATTTAAATTATTAAAAATACATTATTGATCAATATGACTATATTACTGACAAAATGACCAAACTTTTGACAGTTAAGTACCATTTTATTTTTTAAATAATACATAAATTCATAATTATACATTTATACACATAGGTATTGGATTCTCCATGTCCATCATTTTAGATAAGGTCTAGTGAGATTGTCATTACCTAATAATAATAATATAATTCCAAGCAAATAGTATTTGTGTAGGTTAATATTTAGTAAAAATGAATTTACCTTCATCTACATTTGGAACAGAAAATTTGTTAAGCTCAAATCGAGAGTAAATAAGTACTTCACATTCACCCGGTATTTTGTCTAATTCTAGATCAACTAATTCTGCATTAGTTGCCTTCAAGTTTCCCAACAAAGTGCACATGATTGATTTAGAATTAAATGAACTTCCTGTAATACCCGAAACCGCACAACAATTATTATTGTATTTAGATGTAAAATATTGATGACAAATTTATAATTTTGACATTACTATGTAGTACATATTGTAATTTACATGAAATTGAAATAGCATCAATTTTTATTTTAATATTAGTTTGTTTTAACATAACAACATTACATTTATTATTGATAAAATGTAACAAAGGTCATATGAAAATATAATATACGTATACCCCCTCAAAGTTGCATCTAAGTTTTAGATAGGTTTGATTTTATTTCGTTACATATTTCATACCACCTCCCAGATAAAATTTAATTTAATTTAATGTTTTCGTGAAATTAACTTGTCTAGTAAACATAAGATTAATAATGAACTAATACAATATGTATTGTAGCTTCACCTCGATATAACTTATAGAACCAATTTTTTCTCGACGTATATTTGTAAAATGTACCTCAAATATTTAAAGTTACATATTGACAACGAAATCTTTAAAACGATTGTGATTTATGAATCATTTAAATATTATAACTCTGAACACAATTTCACCATACATAATTAATCCAAAAAAAATGTTTATAGGTAAGTACTAGATGAAAAAAAACTATTTTGAAGACGTGGTGCTATACATTGCTCTGATGGAACCTGGAAGCCGGAAGGGTGGCCATTGAATTGGCTCCCGATATTAGGTTTGGTACCTAGTCAAGACTTGAATTGACTCCCAAGACAGACAATATTGAATTGGCTCCCAATATAATTTTCAACAAGTGGTTCCCAAAATATAAAAGTTCAAAATGTACGCGAAATAAATTTAAATAAATTCAGTTATACATTAAAATAATTTAAAATACAAATATTTCATCAAAAATATTCACTGACCTGCACTGTTTTAATATTATTTAGTAGGGTCAAATTCTTTTTGCAAGAATTTTTATATATTCAAATCTGGATACTATACTTTTGTCATATTTATGAATTTGACTGTCTATAAATTGTATTTTTTCTTGTATATTTTTTTTGTGTGGTCTTTCTACATTGGAGCTTCTTAAAATAATTTCAGTATCCACTTGAATACCATACAATACATCCATGAAATTGAAAATATTTGGATGCGTAGAATAAAATTGGAAATTCAATTTTGAATGAAAAGATTCACATGAATTAGTGGTACGACTAACACTACTGCTTTTTCTGCCCAAATTAGAGGTGGAAATAAAGAATTATTGTCAATATAATTTTCAACTAAATAGTCCATAAATTTGGGTGTATAAATACGTTATCGGATTAACGAATTGATAATTACAAGACTAACCGGTACTGTGTAGCTAAAAATATTACAGTCGCGTACTTTTTCAACTTTTATATTTTTAACGTATAGACGTACCTATAGTTGAATTTATTTTCAAACAATTTTGTTAACCAATTTATTTATAAAATAAATGTGTAGGGAGCCAACTCAATGCATAAATCATGGGAGCCAATTAAATACGTAAAAATGACGATTACCTGAATTAGGGAGCCAATTCAATAGCACCGCTTGGGAGAGCTAATTATAATAATAGCTCTAATCAATATTAATTACGTTTCTTGCTGTACTATAATGTTAAAAATTGTTATTTTGTATTATGCTACCTGGGAAGTGGGAAGTAGTCAACGAAAATTACAAATCACATACCTGTCGTATGAGTTGTACCGTTTGTACTGTTTGTAGCCGTCGACCCGCCGAGGAGACAAAAAAATACCAAAAAGAAAATCATTGTTTTACCTATTGGCTGTTGTTGCAGATAAATATATATTAGTAATTAAATTCAAAACTTAAAAATTACCAACATAATCATAAGGTGATATTAAAAAACTAAATTTGTGAGTATTATTTTTGTATAGGCACACAGTCAATTATATTACATATGGTAGGAATCATAAAAAATCAAACAATTTAAATAACGTTCTCGTATTTCATGTTTATATTTTTATGTCTGTTCTAATTGTAAAATAAATATTTGTTGTAATATTTAACTGTTCAAGTATCTTGGTATATAAAAACGTCGTAGACACTGTCAAAATTGCATGCCGTTATTACCGAATTAAAACAATTTCAAACAAATAAAAATATAATAGTTATAAATTGTTTATCAAAACACATTTTAGAGTATATAGGATACATTATTTGCTTAGTTTTTTTCATTTTAATGGACGTAATATTTGTACAAAACAAAATATATCAAATATATTATGAACATAGTAATCATAACATTTGTATGGATTTACTACAACATTATTTTACATTTCAGAGGAGCGATAAATATATTTAACAATGATATGTGTTTTTATTTGTGTTTGTTTTATTTTTTGTGTTTTTTTTTTTTTTTGTTAAGTGAATCTAGTTGATCTACTCAGGCCGGTCAAAATTTAAAATTTCTAGTAGTTTTCAAAAGCCCCAAGAAAAACAAAGCTACAATTAAAGAAAAAAGGGAACTTTTAAGCATAATTGGTTTTTAAAAATTACTGTAGGTGGATGAATGTTTCTGTACACTATCAAATTTTCAAAATATTTTGACTCCCGTCGAGGTTAACAAATATGATAATATGCAAATATTATTAATTCAACCTACCACTTGTAACCTACTGTACAGCAGTAGTATTTTTGAGAATTGTTTGTTCATATTTTTTTTTGTTTACTTTTTAATACTATTTTATTTAACATGATTTTTCATAATTTAATTTATGATTTCATAATAAATAAGTTAGCTTTAAAAATGTGTATTAACTATTTCTACGTAGGTGGCAAGTGACAGGCTGCATATGTGTTTGGCTAATCTAAAAATTTTGACATTAATAATTAACAACAATAGCAGTGTAAAATATTACTGGAGTCAAAAATGTATATAAATATATATATTATTTTATATTATATTATTTACTATCAAATATCAGTTAAATCTAAATATTTTGACATCAAGTTAATCATTAACTTAATTCAGAATAAGGTTACAAACTAGTAGTATAAAATAATAAATATCTACATTAATTGTTTTATATTTATCTCCGTACAGAAATAAAATTCATAAAAAATAATAAGGCTAGCATTGATGAAATAAACATTTATATTATATATTTATTAATCAATTCTACTAATAGTGACTAGTCCGTACTCTGCCGTTCTAAGCCATAGGGTCCATGCGTGGGTATTATTGGATGGTACACTTAGACATATCAAAAAAAGTGTACATCGTTCCTTGATGAATATAATAACATTATATTTTTTTCTCTCGTTTATTCAATTCTGTTTGATATTTTTACCTGCAGCAGTGCCGCAGTAATAACACATGGAATAGCTGTTGTACCTACTACCTACCAACTCTGTTGAAAAGTTAAAATGAACGAAACGTTGATAAACATTTTCTTTAATAATACGCCTATATGGTTTTCATATTCTTTTGTCTTTTATAGAGTGAATACATTTTAAATTAATTTTGTTAGACTTTTATCCAGTGTCGCAGAAATCTTAGTTTGTAAAGCTGTCAGTCACCCATATCATATATTATATAGCCTTACATATAAAATTATTGGGGGAATCTTCTTTGAGTCTTTGAAAACCCCTTTTTATCAGCGGTAGGTTAGTTAGTCGTCATACATATAATCTTTAAAATATAATCCCAAAATATTCTGTTTGGACAATTAGTCATTGCCCATCCAACTATAAATTATAATACAACAGTAATACATCTACTAACAGACATTTCGATCTCAAATAAAATACCATCGCCTCTCAACTCTCAACCTATAATCCACTTGTTTAAAAATCTCAGTCTCCAGTCTCCCCTAAAATCCCGATAATACTCCAAATAGACCCCTTATCGGTACGTAAATTGTGTTTTGAATTTTGGTCTTCTATATTTATAATTAAATGAACAATTTACCAAGTATGTACATTATTGCGTAATTTTAAAAAAAAAATGTACCTACATTTAGGAAAGAAAAAATCAATCTGTATGAGTGTCTCTTTTCAAAGTGTTTCCTTCGTTCCCTTTGGTTTTTGGTATAGATTGTATATTATTTTATTTCACAGTTGTATTCGTATTTCAAAGTCTTAGGAATTTATTTAACTTGGACATATTTAAATGTTTGTATTTTTTATTAATTTTTTTTAACCCATAATCAATTACAATTTTGTAAACATAATTATCTGCTTATACCCTAATATACTACACCGTAAGTACCTAACATACACCATACAATATACTTATATACCGGGCGTCACCGTTTTCTTCCAAAACATACCCTTCGCTTTTTCGGCCAAAACTTACTCAAATGTCCTACATACATCATCACTAGTAGTATAATATAATAGTATAGTACATAGAGTAATGCCAAAATGTTGTTCAGAATCACATTGTTGAATGCAATCATATTTAATTATGCATAAAAAATAATAATATTGTTATAATTGTACATTTTAAAGAAAACTGTACTGGCCAAAATGTGACACTCGATGGAAAGGTGGCCGCTCAATATACCTGTTATATTAGTTCCGGAAATGGTAAGATTTAAAATTTTAAAACTACCTGAATTATTAGATGCTTATAAATTACCTATAATTGTATAGACATTTTTGCACTCATAGGTGTTTTTTTACTGTTTTAAAACCAGATAGTAGTAGAAAATGTATTAATTCATATTTTTCATTCTTTAAATATAATTGGCTTGAACTTAATACATTTACCTACAGTTTACTAAATTTGGAATACAACACATCAGGTGACTATGAAAATAAATATAGGGAGCATTAAGCGCCAAAAAAAAAGTAAAGGAGGTAAAGAAGAACCGTCCAAGGAGTTTATCGGATGGAAATGACTGTATGCAAGAAAAAAATCATTGCATTAGATTGACATTTAAAATAAAAAAATAAAAAGTAGGCAAAGTTTTTAATTTGTATAAAATAAATTTTAAAAAATATTATAAATATGTATTGTATCAAAAGGCAAATATGCTGAATTAATTGTCATAAATAATAATAATATAATTGATATTACTTAAATGTATAAGTAATTAGTTACCTATAGTCTCTAGTTAACTAAAAAAATAGACCAACATCAATTTTTATATTTATATATAAGTTAAATTAATTTCGTCTTTATTGTTGTTTGATTGCAATGGAAACTGTAAGACAATATGGGCCACGAAATCGGTCTGAAAAAAAATTATACCCAGCCAAAAACATTTGTACCCATTATGCCTAATACCTATGATAAAATGTTTTTCGTTGTATCAAAGTATTTTAGAGTTTTCATTGTTATTTAGGTTGTTGTAACATGTATGAGTTATTTAAAACTTAAGTGTTTGGTTTGTATAATATTATAAGATACAAAAAGAATCACAATATTATGATAAAAACTATTTTAATTTAGATTTAAATCACTTTAAGTATAGCAATGACTTAATAATAAAAGAATAGTAAATAATAATATGATTTTAATACTATGACTAAATTAGTATAGGTAGGCACTCCATAAAATGTCTAAGAAATATAATATGAGATATACCGTTTAAGCGGATACTAATTGTTTAAACAATTTGTCTAAAATTAATTTCCAATTTATAAAACGCTTGACCATTACCTATACAAAGTGATTCTGGATTCACCCAGTATGCTCGAAAAATATAAACCGAAAAATTGTTTTTACAATTAAAAGTTCTCTAAAAACCAGATTTACATATTGGCTATTTTGAATTTTAAAAAAAATAATTAAAATCAGATTTTTCAGTATTAAAAAAATGTTTGATTCAAAATATCTTAAAACTATAGTTACATTTCTTCTTTTAAATGTATTTGTTAGGTATATGTATAATATATAGAACTATGCCAAAAAAAATCTATTCATGATTAAAATATAAATAATTTTAATACAAGTTGTATTAATAAAATAATACAGAATTTAGTGTATATAATTATAAATTATAATAAAAATATCTTAAAACTAGTTACATTTTTTTTTTTTTAACTTCATGTTATAGAATATATTTATTTTATGAACATTTCATAACGTAATATTGAAACAATATATTAGCTATAACGAAAAAAACCATATTTGTGATTAAAATATATAAACAATTTGAATACAAGTTATATTAATAAGATTATTCAGAATTGACAGTATGTTATAATTCTAAATAAAAATATCTTAAAGCTAGTAACATTTTTTTTTAAACCCTATGAATTATGATATAGAATATATTTTTTTTAATTATTATTATTGATTCATTGACATTATTTTCATTATTTTCATTATTTCCATTATTGAAATAATATATGAATGTGTACCTAAACTAAAAAAATAATACTGTATTTATGATTAAAATATACAATAGTACCCTTTATAATTAGTTTTAATACAGACTTCAAAACTTAATGAAATTAAGTACTTTATATTTAATGCACTTTATACCTATCTTACATAATTATGGTGAATAGTCTGAAGGATTTTTTTTTGCAGATATTATTATAGCTCAAAGCGAGATCCGGCCCCTTAGTCTATCCCATTTGTTATCGGCTTTTTTTCAGCTATCCAATAATTATATAGACTATCAAGCATAATAACACTATGAAAATCATAAAAATTGAAACATAAGTCCAATCGAAGCCCAAGTTATGTATGATAGCCTGAAAGAAATTTTTGAAAATGAAATCAGGTCCATACATATATGAGAAGTAAAATTTGTATTAGTATATAACTTACATTATAAAGATCTTGTAAAATTCTTTCATCATCAGATGGCGTGTTATTTCTGAATAAATAAAATATATACTCAATATAGTAAAATTAACACTGATAAAATTGATATTAAAATTTACTATTGTGAATAAATTGTATTCTTTAAATAATGTCTTAAAATTGTATGATATAAGTTTCAATAATAAAATATTATTTTTATTATTTTAATAATTTTCAATGTTAAGATGTGCAATGATTTATAAGATATTTAACTTCAAAATAACATTGTTTTCTTTATGTTCTAATATAATAAGTTACATTTATTGAAATTATCAATTTGGATGTAAAAATAAGTATTTATAAGTTTAAAAAAAACTAGATTTCAAATTACCGGTTGTCGTCAATTAGTGTGGATCTGTATTCACTAACTAAAGCTATACAGTCTGAGCATAAAAGTGGATTTACATTTTCTATAAATTTACGAACACATGAATGACTGTAACATAAAAAAATGACATTTATACTAAATTCCATAGCTATAGGTAATATTAACTAATCTATTTGATTATATTATACAAGTTCTAAATTAACTAGATTTTTATATGGATTCTTCTAATTTTTTACCAATCAAATTAGCAGAATATAATATGTACTCAAACTTTTATTTATTAAATTTACTGTATAATTAGTAATATGTATTTTAGATTAAAAAAATATATGAAATACCTAGGTAATTGTCTAAATTATAATTTATAAATAGAATATTATATATATATTAATAATATTTATATATTTATCCTACCCATAACCGCGGCAACGAAACAAGTAGCGTGATCTTGCACTCGGCGGTCCTTTTTGCCATAGTTTCTCCGTATATGTACGTCGTAATTTTAAAGACGAGAGAGTCGTGCTTATCATTTTGTCAATAAGGTACTTAACATTCGAAATTAAACAGCTTGAACAGTCACAGCACGAAAATGCATATACAGTAGAAACTAGTTAACTAGAAACTCGATTAACCGTTACTGTCGGAACCGGGACTATGACAGTTAGCAGACATTTTGCAATAAACGTAGATTCTTATAACTTTAATTTAAACGATTCAATTTGTTCTTTAACGCCGTGTTTATCGCGTTCATTGCATATTTTGGATACCTACTACAAACTAGTTTTATTCGCTTGGTAATTCTTGCTATGCAAATTTCGGGATCACATCATTAACTATTTATTTTTCGACGATGACCGATGACGGATAAGAGATTGATGATAAATTGAGAGGCGATTGATCGAGTTCCTACTGTATTTCAGTATTTGAATCAAGAACCCCTGCAGATCTTTATAAAAAAAACGGCCAATCCACGCAGAGTAATCATATATTTGCTAGTTTTTCTAGTATCATAAAAGGCCCACCTCACATTTAATTGGGAGTGAAAGGTAAAAAAAATATTTTTTATAAAGGCAATTGTATTATTTCAGCAACAATAAATAATAAAAATAAAACTTTTACACATGTATAAGTATATGTGTAAAAGTAAATAATACACAAATACGTCATGTAAGCTTAAAAAACTTCCTTGGAATTAAAATTGTACTAACCTGCTGGGAGGACATCCACATTCGACGATGAAACTTGCTGATTGAGTTTCCGAGGTCAAGAGAATTTTACAAACCAAACATCTATCCATGATGTTGACGTGATATTTTACCATGTTCAAAAACGGACGATCAACACTAGATCAAAATAATATTGTTAAGTTGAGGCAATGATATAGGTATATTTTCATACTCACAAACAAAAAAAAATAGATTTCGTCAAATAATTTATGTATCTACACAATTCTTATAAATTTGTTTTAATTATCTCCTGCATTAACATCGACGCTCAATGACTGGATGGCAAGCACAATCGGGTGTATATTTTGAGGAAATTCGGCGACAGCGGTACACGGTGGTCGAGTCCAACACTCCCGCCGTATACGAAAATCGCCGACACGGTTGTCTAAAAGTGGAGACGACTCAGCGACGACGGCAACGGCGACACACACGTCGCGGTAAATGAACACTACCTACAAGGAGACCAAATAATCCGTAGAAATTAATTACCGAAGAATACACCCTGCACTTTGGGCAGCGCACGCGGATGACCGAAAACGGTGATTGATTAGCATGCCAAGATGAAGAATTCGATGAACCAGGATGCATCGTATCCTTAAAGAAAACCTTCCTTTCTCCGTGCAATTGACGACGAAGTGATGACGGAAATACCCAATAAAGTGTGGTTCGGTGGCAGCGGGGTGGAAATAACCTCAACTCGTGTTCGCAGTTTAAGGAATGACCAGCAAGACGATGTCCAACGTATCGAATGACCGAGGACGTTCGACCACCCTAAATTCCGAAGTCAATGATGACGACGTACTATATGGTGTGACGCGGTAGCCATCGACGTACAGGTGTATAACAGTGCTGGTAACAAGGGGTGGGTGGGCCATTTAGACGCGTTTTCGTCCGTCGACCCGGCCATTCTGAACAGGTCAAAGCAACCCCTCGGACCGGCTGTTACAAGCATTAGGCGGGAAAATGACACAGGTTCAAACTGTCAAGTGCCTCCGGGTCGTGCAATTCGTAAGAGATGGTCCTTAATTTAATCTATATACCTGATTTTGTTACTATACTATACCTAGATGTTCAGAATTTTTCAAAAAAAATGTTAAATCCCAATTATTTTGAGTTAGATTTATTCGTTCAATAAATACTTGTAACATAATAAATAAGCCAATTATTTTTTCAAAATATTCAGATTAATTTTAAGCTATTGCTTATCTTTTGTGCTACAAAAGAAAAATTGAAAACCGAAATTGCCAGTAAACAGCTCAAAAACAAAACAAGTCAACATTTTTTGAAATTTTTTTAACTATAGAAAATAATAGATTAAGCACTTGAGGAAATTTCAAGTACCTACCGTTATACCGTTATTCGTATATAATTACAAGAAATTAAAAAATCGTTCCATGAGAAATCGAATGAATATCCAGCAATGTCGTAATATTTTGAACATCAAACACTCATAAAAACTGAATTTTTTGACTTTTCGGTAGATTTTTTTGTTGATAAATAAAGACAACCTTATGAGGAATATTGAATGTAGTTTTCAAATCTTAGATAGAAAAAGAAAAATGTCTATGAATTTCTAAATCAAACTAATTCGCATATGTTTATGATTTTTATGCATTTTGACAAAATTTGAAATTCAGACGCTCCTAAAAAAATATTGAGGATTTACGGAAACAGTATAATTCACTTGGTAAAAAACTAAGAATGGACATCATATATTATTGATTTCATGAAAACAGGAACTAGTATAGGTATACCAATAAATAATAAGCGATACGGTATCGAAATTATATCAGGAACCGATACCTTTATTTTTTAATAAAAACCTAGAACCGAACAATGACAGTTATTTTAGTATATTTGACCAGTACCTGAAACCATAAATATAAATTGAATAGATCTGATCTATTTTTTGAAATGTCCTATATCAGATCAATAAATTGTATTTATGATGTACAGATAAATTCGTAAATCGTAATACTATGTATTATGTAATGTAAATAAAGAACATTAATTCTTGGTATTCTACCTAAATTTGTAATAAAATATTATACATATTTATAAAATATTTGAAACTAAAAAAATAAACTGTAAAAAACATTGTTAAGGAATAAGTATACCTTATATTATTTTATCATAACCACGTTTCGAGTGATAAAAACACAATACTAAAGCTGAAAAATCTTGCACTAATTTATATATAAAAAGCCAAAGTATTAATAGTAGAGAATATACGAATCAAATTGTTCCGTTTGTAACTCATGAAAAAAATTGTTAGTATGAGTACTAACTTGTTGTAAGGACAAGCAGTAATCCATAGTTCCCGGATGGGTGATCACCCGGGTTTTTAAGTGAAGACTCTTATTCGCCCCACATCCACGAATTTCAAATCAACCGTATTCCCCGCACAACAGGATAATAAGTAATAACCATCACCATGACTTATTTTTGTACATCCTTGCTTTGAAAAATTATTTAATATCAGTCACGTTTGAAACAATTTCCTATTTATTTGAATTGAAATAACATGTATAGTGCACATAAATTACATTACGAAAATAGGGTCGAAAATGATTTAATTTTTACACTGCATAGTACTACGGACTATACGCTACCTCTAGCCGCACAACAATTGTGTGAACTACCTACCCATACTCCTTGTTGCCGTGCCCAAAAAACGACCTCGCGGCCATTGTACCCTCGCTCCGAGGGTCAAAACAGACGACCGGATTTTGCCGGCCGGCCGCAGCATATGCCGTCCAGTTTTTATTTTAGAGTTATATAAATTACGTTTAACAGACAGTGAAGTTTTTTGCCGGCCGGTCAACTCACCCAGTTCGTCGGCTCGACCGACGACTGAGCTTGGGTTTCTCCATTGCGAATGGTGGAAAAAATTGTCGTCAGTTGCAATGCTCCATACCCGCCCAAACATTATATTTTCATATTATTCAGAATTATTCATAAAAATTTGAACCATTATCTATTTTTCATTACAGAGTAGGTATTTTGTACACAAATCGAACATCCCTGGGTATTCGAATATGTCTGAGCCGTCTTGGCGAATATCTGCAACCATGGGCCATCGGACAAAATGTGTATGCAATGTTTTGGCCTAATTAGTGGATGTTAATAGTGTATATAGTCCTAAATAAAGTACTTGCGATGATCTCTATTTTCAATCACTTGCTCGGATACTATATAATATCGCACTACCTGCACGCCTAAACCTATTGTTAGGTTAAATTTTTCAGCTACGACAATGTATTATTGCGCCGTTGTTCATATTTGTTAAAATTAATGAACTTCACGACTAACCTATGGAATTGGAATAGGAATAATTTCAAAAATGAAATATGCAATAACTATAAGTTTGCGATTCATATTGTTGCCGACCTTATAAAAAAAATATATTTATTTGTAAGTACCTATTACCTATTCGATTCTATATAATCTATACATATATTATACGATTGTACATATATAGATACCTACGATATATATTAATACATTATACGTATATAGTACGTATGAATTGTGAGTTTGTATTATACAAATGTGTAATATCATAAATTTCTAAAATTATGTATAAAAAAAATTTAAAAAAATTAATATTAGTATAAAATTATTTTTAAAAAAACTATTACTCATTACCTACTTTATTACTCGTTTCCCATTGACTATTAGTTTTTATTTTTTTAATGTCTCCAATTTGTATTTCTAAGATTTAATTTTCAAACGGGATGTGGTTGAGTAATTAAGTCTACATTTTGCAAGTGATTTTTGCAAATATAGGTACATTCAATTGAATAGAAGAATTTTAATTTTAAAATTGTGCAAAATGTGCAATGCATTGTATAATGTACGGTATAATACAATCATTTACATTATATTATATCATATACATGTATTCATCTACTTATTTATAAACGAAAAGTAATAAATAATCCAAATGTAACACTCGTATCATAATACAAAGTACACTTTTAATACGGAAAATACGGTATATATCAGAACATTTAGTTCAAAAATACCGTACCTATTTCAACAACATTGAATTAATACTGATGCACAGTATTTACAGGTGCTGTACCTCCATAGTGCCTACATCCTTCCTGGCTCCCTGAGTTTCTGTATTAAAATTTATAATTTATAATTTATAAATTTTAAGCTTTTGTCGTTATTTTATTAAATAGTATACAAATGGGTACCAGACGCGTAACCGGTCAAAATTACCGCCAATAGTATATAACCATGGTTTGTATCTCAGGATATAATAATATGGTTTATACCGCTTTTGGAGTTTGTACCCGGCGTGGTGTCGTCGGCAACACACGCGGCCATGTCACACAGGTCAAGGCTCGTGGACCAATGACGTTCTTAGTGGCGGAGCATCCACGCGACTCGCGCACTCGCAATATGTCGGCAAACGGGAAACAAGCGCGACTAGCTTTACAGTTGTTTACATGACTAAATACATATTTTATTTATTCATATTTCATGAATGTTTGGATCTTTTACTCCGTTGTCAGAGTCTATGTTTATATAATTCACCTATGAAATTCCTGTGTGTTATTTAAAGTCATACAATATTCTTCATCCTTGCTTGTTCACTTCACTGGACTAACTATACTTTATATAGAGGACTGGACTACTGGAGTCTGAAACCAACTGAACACTCTTTAAAACATTCTGTGCGCAGTGCTTTTAGTGTCAACGCCACCTGTGGATCACCACCACCCCATCGTTTTCCTGTAGTGACTGGTGAGTATACATAGTGCGAGCTAGAGAACATGGCTGTGTGCACTGGTATCATTTCGACTTGGACGTAATATCGCCCAGTCCTCTAGGTATATTTTAATGATTATGACCATATTTATGTTTAATTATGATGTAAGCCTGTCTGCGTTTTGTGGTTGAGAATACCAACAAGTGGACAGCACACAGACATATAAAGAAATAGAATGATAAACAGAGAGGTTCAGGAGCCAACATTGTTAGAAAAATATAGCATACAATTTTTTGGTAGTCAAGTCTTAGGTCCCATTATATTACATGAGTATTGACCATCTCTTTCTAATATTGTTGGCAAATGACAATATATTTTAGTAAGATATAGGGGAAATTCATATATTAATAAGTCTATGGGACAGCTTGCCATAGCACAGACATGCCCTGAACCAAGTTGAGAACATGCCAGTGTTTAGCCGTTCTAGAGAATCTCATTTTATAAATGCTCTCAAGAGTGTGGAGTGTGGCTGTACTTTATATGATTGTATTTTTGCAGCTGCTGGAGACAACTATTACCATACTTCCAAATAGATATTAAATCTTTAATAAGCTTGAAAGTTGCCATCGGAAGTCTTTTTATTTTATTTAATTCTTGTTTACAAACGGAATATCAATAAAGCTTACCAGCACCTAATGCTGTTGTGATTGCATTGTTCACTGTTTGCTATACTATAGTGACCGTCATCAAATTATATTTGATTTGATTTTCTGAACATATCCTTCATGATTAAAAACTGAATTATGAAAAATACACAAATGTTTTTTTCAACTGAATATGTTACTATATTTATATTTTATTCATTCTACTAATGTACTTATCACAATAATACAATGTATATTTTGTTTTTGCAGTTAATTATCAACAGTCCATCAATAAGTTTACGTGGATCATTATAAGTTGTCTGTATTTGAAAAATAGTACTAATCTGATACTTGAACTATGAATTCGTCACCATTAGTAAGTAATTTATTAATAATTTGACTATGTATATGTGGTTTTTGTGGGCCATACTAACTATAAGGATATAATGTTAATTAGTAAAATCCTATTATACAATTTGATATTTACAAAGTCTAATTACTGAAATGTTAAGTAATAATTAATAGGCATTTTAATGACAAATAGATTTACCTTATGTGTTTTTTGTCCTTCAAAACTCCTATTTTGATATGTGACAATTTTCGATATTTTAAGATGCTGACAACCTTTTGTAGGAACTCTCATAAACCGTACATCAAAATGAGAAATCGGGGTATTACAACTCTCGTGGTATATTTCTTATTGCAAATATTTGCAGTATGTTTACAATTAATGAGGACACCACACCCTCATTTGTTGTCTTAATATTACAAATGCATATCAGCGGATTAATTAAGCTAAATGTAAGCTCCTGAACATAAATTTGCCATGTAACTTTCTTTAAAGACAAAAAAAAAGGGGGTGGGATCCTTTAAGTGAGGCAGTTGTCTAAAAATACCACTTTTGCAAAACATCAGCATAAATTCTTTATTAAAATAGTGTATTTTATTTTCAGATTTTTGATAAACCTGTATACTGATTTTATCAATTATAGGTACATTAAACTGATTAATAATTATAATACTTACAGGATTCATTTTGTCCAGTCCATTCGGAATCTGAAGCATCAATAACAGCGATTGCAACGATTGTTACAAAAGATGACACTTTAAAGTAAATAATTTACAGTTATTAATTTTATAATGTATTAGAATCTCGGCATCTTTTTTTAAAATCTAAATAGTTCTATTTAACCACTTATTGTATTTTGGTTTTTGAGTAAAGTAAAGAATCAAGAACGAGGTATTTGTTCAGTATGTGACCTACGGATCAAAAATCATGTTTAGTATATGACAATAACCCAATAAGACCCGTAGAGACAACGTTTGCATACCAATCTATTAATAGGCAAGATACATTTTTAAATGATGAACAAAAACATTCTAAGCATATTTTTTAAATTAAATAAATTTTTTTATAGTAAAATAATTGTATGACATTTTTTGAATAATTTTGACATATTGCTGTAATATAGGTACACATTCAATATTCATACCATTTTTTTCACCAATATTTCGTTTGACCTATTTTTTACATTATTAAATGTAATCCTGTATTATTTTATAATGGTATTACTAAGTAATTAATTAAATAACATAATTTTACTAAAAAATACTAATACTAATACGGTAGGTCATGCGGTCTGGTAAGTCACATACTGAATAGATACCAAGAATGATGTATTATATTAGTTCAATAATGGTATTTGCATGTTTAGTTTGTATATTTTTTCCTGTATTCAGTTTGAAGGACTGAAGGAGGTTAGGGGTAATCCCCCCCCCTTTCCATCATTGTTTTTTTAACTGTCCTATTATTAAATGTTATAATTTATACATTTCAACTAATACTTACTTGCTATGTTTTATGCTACTTTTTACATTAAGTATACGTTATATTTGTAATATACATTACGTTTTAATGATACGGAGCATAAACATATTTTCCAATAATCACCCTAAGCCTAGCCAAGTACTAATATGTTGTTTCATAGTAGGTACAAGGAGTAGGTATGTAAAGTTATTTTGTACATTGAACTCTTTTTCATGTGTTAGTACATATTTTGTTGTATTTGCATTTCAAGTGAAAATTGTTACTTGTATGTTTGAAAATTAGTTAGAATTTTTTTTTAAGCTGGTAAAAAAATTTTAATTTGTAGTTCAATTTTGATATCAAATTAGTTAATAATATTGTCATTATCATGTAATTATTATTATTATTATTTGTAATAAGTACATGTTAACTTGAATGTTTTGGATAATAAGCAATTGTCATAAGCGTGTTTACAGGAGGGGCCGGGTGGGCACTGGCCTCCCGGCAGACTCAACATCATGCCAAGATAAAATTTTCTTTATTATGTATCTGTTTTTAATTTAGTTTTAAATGCATTTTTATTGTTTTGACAATGGTTATACTTTTTGATCATAATTAAAAAATATTCCTAACATTTTGAATTTTGTAACATAAAAAATGAATGTTTCTTCATGTCTAAAAGAAAAAAAAATAAGTCTCACAATTAAAAAATGTATTGTGCCCTCTCGGCCACCAAAGTCTGAACACGCATATGGCGATTGTGCATATTTTAAGGATTTTAAGAGCATGAAATTCTTAGCATAAGTAATCAATTATCAGCTGCTTCAAATAGTGTCAATACGTTATTCTTGCAGCGTTAATGCTAGTCCAATACATGGTCTGCATCTAGACTATATGATGCTGCAAGAAAAACATATCTTAAGTCCTAACATTTATTTATATAGGATATACTTCTATAGTTATTGAACACTGTAGTTTTGATATTTTACCCCTGCAACTTGCTAAAATGTATGATTGACTTATAACTGGACTGTGGATTATTATAATAATTCCATATTTTGGTCAGTCATCTTTACTAATCGTAATAGTTTCAAGCTTCTGATGGCATATTAAGATACTATAAGGTGCGTACTGTGCGTAAAAATCTGCACTCTACTGATCATTTCATCCCATTGAAAATGCATGGCTACACCTCCGTCTACTGCACTATGGAGCAGCTGTTTTTCAAAAGTTCAATGTAGTGACAATCATAATCTAATGCAACAATTTATTATTGCTTTCAAATGTTACATGTTAGCTTACTTATTACTAACTTATTAGCAATATAATTAAAAATTAATTGTTTTTTTTTTTTTAAGATTTGATGATATCACCAAAGAATTTCTCAAATTAGGGTTTATAAAAGTTAAGGATTTGGCTAGAACATCCATGTTAAAAGCTAGCTCAGTTAAATTGCCGGGAGATTCTCTAACACTGCTTTATGAAGCTATGGAGGTATAAACTAATTATTATTAGTAAACATTTTTTAGATAATGTTTTTCGGTATTCGTTTAGTATGTGACCTACCGTAGGGTATTTGTTAGTATTTTTAGACAAAGTTAAAATCATAAAATGATGTTATTTTATTAGTTTGTTATTACTAACTCATTAGTAATACAAGTATAAAATAATACAGGATAACATTTAATAATGTCAAAATCAGTAAAAACAAAAATGTAAGAATATTATTTTATTATAAGAAAAATGTATATTGCCTGTTAATACATTGGCACCCACATATTGTCCGTACATAAATAATTTTGTAGGATAGATGTCTCGGTAGATCACATACTAATACCTGTTTTTATTTTATTTTATTCAAATGTTATTTTTTTTTTTCTTATAGACATATACTGATCGCCTAGGTAAGATATTACTATCAATTGCTATGTTTTATTTAGATGGGTGTACCCGTTACTAAATAAACAAGCATGTCTGGACTTATGTATTTCTCATATCACTGCACATGGGTACTCCGGACTTGGATTTTGCTAACATGCCTGTTTATCTTTATTTAGCCATGAGTAAACTGTGGCCAAATGACCAATTTTTTTTTGTTAACTGCTCCCGGATTAGTATTTGGGTTTAATGAAGTACAATGTAAACTGCACCCTTTATATTATTGATTTTTGATACTTAGTTGTAATTCTAAAATGAATAACTGCAGACATGGAGAGGGGGGCTGTTGGACCTAGAGTATAAGGGCCCATAGAAATGAATTTGGAATTTTTGAAATTTTAATAAGATTACTTTTTTTATATTAAGTAATATTTTATAGGGTCCTCAAAAATATTTGGTACATAGGCCCAACATTTAATTTGCTGTGGACTGACTTGACTAGATACTAGATACACACATTTCCACCAAATGTTTTTTTTATCATTGCTATACACTGAAAAGTTTTCAAAATATTTTTTGATAAAAAAAATTGATAATACTATGAATGGGTAACTTGTTTAAAACATTGTAATATATTGTATTGTTAAAATATTCTGATTGTTATTAAGCTATTTGTAGACATGACATTCTATTTATTTATTTTCAAATATCAATAAAAAATGTTCTATCAGTCAAAATCTTAAAAATTGAATACAATATTCCTCGTCATTTTTGTTTAATTAAAATATAATGATACTACCTAAGCATTTGAAGTTCAAATTAGAACAAAATTAGATATATTTTTAAAAAAGAATTAATTTTTTCTTTGGTCGTGTAGAGGGAATACAATGGTTTAATCGATCGACAGACCCATTCTACATCAACAGAACCAGCATGTTCTTTTGTGGAACACAGTATAGTAGACTGATTTTGTTATAATTTATATTTTATGTACACATTGTTAAAGTTCAAATAGTTTTATCATTTTTGACCCACAATAAAATAATACATTTTGTTAAACTATTAATTTACCTTTTAAACCTTGTACACTGTATATCATTATATAAACTAAAATTAATTCTGAAGTTTCTGGTAGTGTATACTAATTTTTAATTTTACTGTAAAATTATACAATTAAAATTAATTAATCTAAACTTTTCTCTGTCCACCAATAAAGCTTAGTCACACACACATAAGTACCAAAGCCATAAAAAAGTATTTTTGTAACACAACTTTTGCAGTTCACACTATTATTTATTTGTATATTAACTACTATATTACACTTAAAAAATTAATAAGTGTCTTATTATTACAATATAATGGGTTACAAGTTATATTAAGTAGATATTGACTAATAACTAAATGGGATATAATTTATTATTTTAAAACTATTTTCCTCGTTTTTTTCCTATACTTATCTAACACTAATTTTGTATTATGTTATTTGTAACATCTCTCTCAATATTTAAAATGTGCAAGTCAGTAAACCGTTGCTTATCCTCAACCAATTTTTAATTTGCTGCATAAATAAATTATATTGGCATTTAACTGCAATTTAAAATCACTTTCTTAAGAAAATCTTTAAAAAAAAAATTTTACATTATAAAAACATAAAATAAAATGAAATCTTAAAAAAATAAATTGCTTTTTTCTCCCATCATGTTAAGATGTTTTCTAATGGTGACCAGGAGTTCTGAAAAACAGTTTGGGGGACAGGGGTGCTTTGGTTCTATTCCATTTTTCATACAATGATACTCCATTCGAATCTAATCGTTATTATTCCAATTTACTTACTGAAACAACTTAATACTAATTAATGTTTAATGTTTAAACTATATATATTTTTTAGATAAGCTTCATGAAACTGCAAAATCAGAACATACAAATGGAAATTTCGACAGTACGCAAAAAATATGTACAGAATTACTTGTACATAAACCAAAAAGTTTAGATATTATATTGCTTAAAGCTGATTCATTTCTCAGTCACAAACATTATGAAAAAGCCATTGAAACTTTAGAAGAAGCAAAAAATATTCATCCCAATTGTTTTGAAGTTTTATATAACTTAGCACTAGTTTATTGGAGAAAGTCTGAACAGGATTTAGCAAAACAATATTTATCGGAAGCTTGTGAATTAAAACCTTTTTGTGTTAATGCATGGACAATGTATGGTAATGTATTATCTATTACAAACGACTTGAACTCAGCTGAACTAGCTTATGAACGGGTTTTAAGTCTAAAACCCGAATTATATGAAGTACGTAATAAGTACGGAAAACTGCTATTAAAATTAAATAAATTAAAAGATGCTAAAAAGCAATTTAAGATTGCCCACAACAGTGCGACAGAATGTCCAGAAACTTTAAATAATTTAGGAGATGTTTATTCTGAGTGCGGTAAATTTGAAAAAGCTATTTCTAATTATAAAAAATCTTTAGAAATTAATCCTGATCTAAAGAATACTCATGGTAGTTTGGGAATGGTTTATCTAAAAGTTGCAAAATCACAAGAAGCAGCTACTGAATTTCTAAAAGCATTAAAATTAGAACCAGACAATGTGTTGTATTTAAGAAATTTAGCAGTTACATTTTCTCTTCAACAAAAACCTGAATTGTCTGTTGAAGTATTTAAAAAATGCTTGAAACTTCAACCTGAAAACTTCATCATAAATTTAAATTTGGCTATGGTGTATATACAAGACCTTAAAAATTATCAAGAAGCTATAATTTATTTAAAAAAATGTATGCAGTTAAATCCGGAAGCAACATATGTGTACAAGATTCTAAGTCATGTATACCAGCAGTCTGGAGATAACCTAAGTGCGTTTGATACTTGCATGGCATTGGGTGATTTGTATATGGATAGCAATGATCATGAAAATGCAAGTAATATATTTACCTGTGCAACTCATTTTAATCCTGACAATGCATATGGCCATTGGAAATTGGGCCTAACTATGTATAAACAGGGTCGTCTTGATTTGGCTTTATTGAGGTAATGATTAATTATTAGTACACTAGTCCTTAAATGTTCATCTTGTTATATAGGTACTGGTTATCTTAGGTTTTATCTTTATCTGATGACTTGGTAATCTTAGGTAGACAATTTAATTTTCACAACAAAAAAACACAATACCTAATACATGATTAAAAAAATTATTTATGTTAAATTAGTTTTCTGTATTCTTGTTACTTTTGCTGTATAAATACATCTTATCTGTTAACTTATATTCTAGACTCGTCTTACACTCCATATTTATTTGCAGTAAATTGTAAGCCTATCTTAGTTTAATATTTTCTCATTTATTATTAGCGTGTACCTACCCTTCTAATTTTTCTTTTGATTTACTTCATTTAGTGTTTTCAGTTTCTATATTTTGTGTTGAAATCCTTACAAGCCTATTATCTGTTATTCAATCTCAACTTTGAAAGTCATTATTACATTATGTTCCATAAATTTACCCAACTATAATCACCTAACCTAACCAGGATTCATTTTCAAAAGGTAAGAGAAAACCTCTTACCTGAAATTCACAAGTGAAAACATAGTACGTACGTACTAAAATCATATGGGAGTTGAACATATTCACTTTAATTTTTCAATGCTAAAACAAAATCAAAAGCTAGTGAATTGTAGATTTTGAATATGTTGGCTGTTACTAATTTTAAAAAAAAAATAAGTTTTTTTTTGCTTAAATTAGTTTAAAATTGTGTATACAAGTTACAATAAGAAACATAATATGCATAATAGTATATTATGATTATTTTAAACTTAATTAATTAAAAATATTTACATTTACCATTTCCTTTAACTAGTAAATCCTCCATATATGTCAAACCATACACAACACATTGATTGTAACTTAAAAACAATTCATGACAAAGCTACATTTTCCTATAGAAAATTGTATTACTGTCTATCTACTCATTCAAATTCTCTTATCAAGAAACAGCACTGGCGGGAGGTTGTGCTGGGCCCGAGGCAGATTTTTTTCATGGGACCAAGAAATTTTTTTTCGTAAGGCAAAAAAAAATGTCTGGCATGTCCTTGTACTCGTAAGAATTTTTTAAATATTTATTAAAATAAAATATGTACAAATTAAAATATTCAGGTACACTAAGTACACTAAATACAAGTGTTACACAAACATTTTTAAAAAAATTTAAGATTTTAACATCAAAATTGTTTTGGATGTCGCCGTCGCTTGTCGGCATTATAATTTATTTTTACTCTCACTCATTTATTATATGGATTCCAATTATTATATTAAAACCCACAAGTCGCCACTGCAGACTGGACTTGTATTTTTAATTCAAAAAACAAAATTATTGTCTTAAAAATCATCAAATGCTTTGAAAAGTGCGGGGCCCTAACCTTCTGCCCTGCCCTTCCGCCAGCGCTGTCAAGAAATTATCATCCCTTACAATCCCAGGTAGCCCCTCAAGGCGACTTACCCGTAAATGGTGCAAAGATGTATTACATTGAAATAAAAAAATAAAACACATGACCTAAATCAAATTGAATGTGTCCCCAGTGGGTGGCTTCTTTCCCCAAATCGCGTAACCGGTGTTTGAAAACTAATAAATACATTTTTACTATAAATTAAGTTATGGTTAAGTCATTTTTTACCACTGTCGAACTGCATTAAGTCATTAACTACATGACATAATAGATTTTGGATGTTCATTATTTATAATAAAGAAACAAGTTGATTTTAATATACATATAAGTTCAGAATATAATATTAATAATTCATTGATAAATGTGTTAGCTACTGTTTCATTACTATTTTTATTTAAAGATAATATCATAATGTATGCCGGTATTATAAAGCATTGTGTATAATTCTTCTATGTATTATCCTGACCCAAGTCTACTCTACTAACATAGGTTACTCTTTCAAATGAATGGTTCACATTTTATTTACATTTTCATGCATGCATTTAATGTTGACTATGTTTTAATTGTTTATTATTATTATTTTATTTCTTTTTTGACTTCAGTTTAAAATATTATACTATTGTTATTTTCTTACTTTCTTTGTTAATAATTTCTGTTTCCTGTGATATATACATATTACACTTGATACTTGATTTTTAATTAATAGAATATTATTCTTGAAAAATATATGTATTCAGCATAACTAGTAATTATATCATGATTTATTTTCCAACAGTTATAAAAGAGCTATTGAATTGAAACCAAATCTGGTTGCCGCTTATTGTGACATTGGGATTATCTATGAAGAATCTAATCTTCCTGAAAAAGCCATGGTCAACTATGAAATGGCAATTCAGCTAGATTCTAATAATTTAAATGCATTACATAATTTATCAAATCTGAAACAAAATTTGGGTCAACTAGATGATGACCTTATTGACATGTTTCAAAGAATATTGAAAATTGACGAATCAGAGGCTTTTGATACACATAAAAATCTAGCAGATATTTTTAAGACAAGAAGAAATTTTAATGATGCACTTACGCATTATGAAAAAGCTTTGGAATATAACAATACATCTGTCGACATTTATAAGCAGATGGGAGATATATATTCAGAGTTGAACATGGCTGATGATGCATTACGTTGTTTTAATTTGGCAACTCACCATGAGAACAGTGTTGAGAAGCTTTAATTTATGACGGTTCTAAGGAAAAATATGGTGATATGAAAATGACCCATGATTAATGATTTTAATATTAATTAAATAGAGTATTTTTTTATTTCAGGTTGAATATCTTTGAACACGATGAAAATTTGTTACACCGCAACAGGAAGATGCATTAAAATTAAATTTTTTTCAAATATTAACTGTATTAATTTTATAATATCAAGCATTTTAATTTACTTAATTTGTGAGTTTTATACATTTGTGTATAGTTTTATTATTTTCAGACTATAATGAGAGTAAAAACTTATTAAATATGATTTATTAATTGAAATGTTGATTGATAATAAATAACCAATAAGTAATTCAACTTTGTGTTGTTAAGTTATAACAAATTACAATATTATTCTAAAATGTATACTTATCATGTTGTTGCATATTGCACATAATACTTTGTATTTACTATATAATATTATGCTACTTAAAAATATTTTGAGGAAAACGTTTCAAAAATTAAACCACTCACCCACAAAATTTATCTCAAAATGATTGATTATAAATCCTAACCTTTCAATATATTGACACTTTGCAGTGATATTTTGTAATAATGTATTAGCATTATTAAATAAAACGATACAATCAGTTTATTCCATATACCTATAGGACAAATCGGGCAGCTGGTATATAATATTATGTAATTTAATTGTTATAACTTTTAAGTTTTGTCAAATCATATCTACGGGGCACGGTATTTTTAGAGGACGTCACAACCGCATAATATGTTGTCTCCATCTCACAAAATATGTTAAACATGGCAAAAACTGTTTCTTTCGGGAAATAACCGAAGAGGCTACAATTAGAAGTTAGAACTAAAAAACCAAATTTTCGTCATGAATAGTGGAGAATTTTAACTGTGTCGTAGCTTTTTTATTTTGTTCGATAAGAGCATAAGACCAATATATCAAAAATTATTGAAATTTGGAAAACTTACAAATATCAGATTTTTAAAAATTAACTTTTCTTATTAATGATATCAAACAAATAAAAACTCTAAGGCACAGAAAATACTATCTTCTATATTTTGTAAGCTTTTGGTGTCTCTACTACAGACTGAGTGGAATCCAAAATCCCGCTCAAAACTGTTTTTGTTATATTGTACATATGTAAGACAGAGACACTGTATAGCGTCCTCTTAACTAGGATTACAAAAAAAAACCAAGGAATAAATTTAATCAAATACTTTACAACGCTATTTACTTGAAAAATAATATTTTCAACAGTATTTATTTTACAATAAAAAGAAATGTGTATTACAGTTTTAAATTTTATATGTGGATGGGTTGCTTCAATATCTTACCTTATGGATACATTTTTGTAACATCACTGCCATCACTGGATAATTGTCTGTTGTACGGCTTTACATTGTAATATTTTATATTATGTTGGAAATAAATAGTTCAAAACAACAGTAAAAACGTCAAGGTACTATTGTATTAATGCATCAATGATATAACCTCAAACACATTTTTATTAATTGACTTTGATGTTGTGCATAACTGCAACTGCAGGCTCTGGCACTTCATCTAAAGTAACGATTAGTGCTTCTTCAGAATTTTCAAAAACCTATGGTCTATGGAATAGCACTTTTGTGTCACATATAAAGCATTTCAATTTCATCAATAGTTTTTAATAAAACAATAATATTTGTATTCCACAAATTCGTGGCATACATTTTTTCAAATTTATTTATGTATAGGAATATTATATTTTTAGCGTACCTACCCATAAGATAATTTTTATAAAATAACAATTGTTGATATTTGTATTATTATCATCGTAGTAGTATATTAATATTATTTTTAATATACAATTTTATTATAATCTATAAAATATTATTTTTAATATACAATTTTATTATAATCTATAAAATATTATACTTAATTAAATTTAACGTGGCCGTCAATTCCCAGTATATAACGCCATTGGGGATTTTTTTTCCCCAGTGTCCCTGTATAGTGGTTAAATTTGTTTTATAGGTAATCACGGATTAGAAGAATTAAATATTATGAAAAAATGAAGTAGTTAACTACTACTACAGACTCCTATATGGCTATATAATTAAGTCTGTGACTTTTACCCACGTAATATTGTATTATAAATCTTTATTTTACAATGATTCGAAGTTTCGTTCTAAAGTCTAAAGACAAAAAAGCCTTAATATATAATTAATACCGAGGCGTATTCAGACCTTCATGCGTGGGGAGGCAAATTTTAAAATTTTAGTTCTTACATACTACATCTATATACGTTACCTAATATTTGTGACCCTTCTAAGTTTGGGTTTGATTAAACTCATAACTTCGAAAAATTTCTTTCACTGCAGGCTACCTTGTAACTGGCATAGTTACAAATTCTTTTACAACTTAATATATATGTATTTTTAAATTTGGTATCTTTTTCAGAATTGGTCAACCGTTTTATCCAATTTTTCAATAAGTCACTACTCACTGGAAGGCTATATGGTGCCCCCCTGCCTTCCCCGCAGACACGCCTATATAATTATAACTCAATAATAATAATATAGAGGATTTTTTTTATTTTCGTATGGCGCTAGTTCGGACGCCTATTTGGCAGAATTTTGATTGGGCACCTGTAGGTTTCTGTCATGCCCAGTTGGGGGACAGCGGCCTCTCTCCAGATGACAGGTGTCTACCCGGAGAAAACTGCCGCCCGATATCGAGGATGTCGGCATTTGTGTTCTCTCTCTAACCAACGTAACATACGGACATACCAAATTTTCTAACCGACCCTATGTTGTTAATTAATAAATTGAAAACTTAATATACCTACCAATGGTACTATGGTAGGCTACCATATATTATTATAGTGATAGTAAACTTGCCAATTATCAAAATTTAAGTTAAGAACATTATCTATGCCGTTATGTTGGAAGTTTTGTGATATTTTCATTTGTACGTAGTATTTATTATAATATATTTGTATGTTGTATAATATAGTTTATTTTATCATTCTTCATCAAGAAGATGCATATTAACGGGCAACAAAGTGCACAGGATCAGCTAATACCTATAATATAATATAATACCCAAAAAATATTATGATTATAAATAGTTTTTAATTAATTTAAATGTTTTGAAAATGTAACTGTGTTATGTATTATAGAAATAATAATTTCCCCATAATATACTTGAATTTCAATAAAATAATTAAAGTTTTTTGTTTTAACACCTAAAAGGTATTACCCATTTAATTTCGTCCAAATCTAAACTTCAAAATAATTTTTTTCTAATATTTGATTAGTTATTAACTGTTTTAATATAATAGTAATTTACCAAAAACCAATAACTAATAGCAATAATCCTAAAGATCATAGGCGGAGATCGTGTGAAATATTGAGGGGGGCTCAAATATTTGATGACAAACATGCCCGTGGGGGCATTGCCCCCACACCCCCAACAAACTAATTTTTACATTAAATCACTCATAAAAAATTGTTCTCATTGACTCGTTATCATAACAACTTCAATAGTTACAAACATAAAAAAAAGAATAATTAATAAACGATTTAAATTAAAATATTTTAAACATATTTGAATTAAATTATTTATTTAAAATCTAAATCACAATCTCAAAAGAAATGTATTACCAAGAACATCAAACAATAAGTAAAATATAATTTAGTATAAAATGGTCAATACAGTTAACGATTCATTCAATCACAATAAACTTTACGATAGGTTTAACATAGCTATAGCGATAGTCCTAAAATAGCTATCGCTTCTCGAGAATTAACAAAAATTAGGAAAAGAAATAATATTTTTCCCATCTAAAATAGAACGGTATAATATGTTATTCAATATAGATGGCCAATTGGTACAAAATATGTACAGTATTAGGCAGTGGCGTATATAGGGGGGAGGCCCCCTAGGCCAGAGCCCATAGTGAAATTGCAGGATCAATTAAAGCATTGCATGTATATTTACACTGTTAACAGTTTTTCACTATGATTAAGTTAGCCGGTTGATTAAAATCATTTTTGAGTAATCTACAAGGAAATGTTAGATATATTGACGGGACTTGCTTTAATGACTTATTGACTTTGATGTTAAATTCATAGTAAGATAACATTAAAATATACAAACGACACTGTCAATATTTTTAAAAAAGAAACAAAAAATTAATTTTACATAATAATTATAAAATTGAATTGCGCAATTTTTATTTGAACTGTATAATACGTCATAATTCTTAATTATATAACAGCTGCTCCCTTAAAAATGTATAATTATGGCTATGCTGCTTGACTAGTGATAATTGATAAATCGGCCCATAGTGAAAATAATTCGTATATACGCCACTGGACTATTAGGTATATAAACACAATTTAATATTATTGTGCATTGTGACTTAATTGTTCGGTATGTTACCGTAAATAATAAATTGGTAAATACTAAATAGTGTGTATGTGATGTACTAGGTACACTTATATAATTGTGGATATAAGAATATAAAATAATGAAAAAAATTCTGCAAACTGTACAAAATTACGGTATTGTTTGTTTAATATTCTTAGGGGGACTTTAACTTCAAATCATTTATTTTGGGGGGACTAAGCCCCCGTAAGCCCCCCCTGATCTCCACCTATGCTAAAGATCAATTATTATATACATAATATATTAATATGTAACACTGGATCTCCAGAATATTGTGTAATAAACTAATATATCGGCGCATACTAGTTGCCTCCCAAAATATACGAATTGCCTCCCGTCCTTATCGTAAATAAAAAGGTTAATTTACACTAGTTGCCTCCGATGACCAGATAGTTCATAATTATATACGAGTTGCCTCCCAAAAAGTTTCACACTAATTGCCTCCCATATAGAATTAAGTAGTGGTTCATAAACTTCACCAAACAGTTCCACATAAATAGATAATGTTTATACTTTATTCATTATTAAAAATACCAGACTTGGTTAAAATAATAATAATATAAAAATAATCAATAAAAATAAAACATATTATAGGTACTACTTATTAAAAATATATAGTGCAGTTAAAAAACATCAGTCAAATAATAAATCAATAAGTTAAACAAAATAGGAAGTAGTACCTATTATTAGTCAATAAAATAAATGTATGGTAATAATAATATAATATAATATGCATATAATGGTAAAAAATTATTTATAACATTGTTTAGGCTTGTATTTTTTAGCCAATATTTGTAATTACTCAAAATTTGATACAACTAGTACTAGACCCTTTTCGTTTATGATAAAATTTAGGGTACGTCGGGAGGCAACTCGTATATAGTCGGGAGGCAATTCGTATAAAAATTATGGGCCTTTTTGACTTCGGGAGGCAACTAGTGTGCGCCCTATAATATAACTAATAAGTAATAACTAATAACTTTGTTCTTATAAGTTGTAATTTTATATCATGTATTAATCAATTTCGACGTATACCTACCGTAGTAGAACGGAGATAACAGGTTAGTATGGTACACCTAGTACCTATAAAAGCGCTTTTAAATATTATTCTAAGAACGACTATACTGAATATTTAAAAAAATGCATAGTGTATAGAGAATACTATTATCATATGTAAATAGGTGTAATGTCGAAAAGTTGTTAAAACGTCCAAACGTCAAAGATTTTTTAAAGTACCACTGCAGTCCATAGAACAACTAAAATCGTTAGATGAAAAATTATGTTTTGTCGTTTAAATAACAAGTAAAAAATGCATGAACTACAATATAGCTCATAAAAAAATTGTATGACACATTGACACATGCACTAATTTTTCGTAAATTACAGTAAAAAAGTGGTCAAATGGGCAAACCGTTTTGCTATACAGTTCGAGTCGAGTTATAAACTAATGATGGGTCACTGTAAATTGTAATGGATGTGGTACAACAAAATTTTAAGATAAATTCAAGAAAATAGATTCTAAGTCTTAGAATCTAAGAGTAAACGGTCTGTAAGCTTTATACAGTATATTTTATCATGTATTCAATTAGGTGTATATTGATATTTTATTTTGGTATAATAGTTATATGGTTCTATATAGGTATTGTGCAGGATAAAATCAATATCAATATCAATATAATACTAAATAGTATATGATATATGTATCTATATATTGTACAATGTTAGTATGCCAATAGGGTATATAGGCTATATCTATATATATAAAGAATAAACAAACAAGTTTATAATTTGTATGGTGTGACTGTGTTATGTACATATTTATTCATATAAGTATATTATATACTGTATATACATAAACAGGGTGGCCAAAGGAAACCTCCGTATTTTAAAAGTCTACCCCGGAGTCCCAACAAAAGATTTCGGTACAATTACCTAATTGCCCGATTTTTTTTTAAATGTGCCATTTTCATACTAAAAAAAAATATGTAAAAAAATTACAACCGCAGTCGCAATTAAACGCCAATGATCCAGCATCAACCATTGTATGTGTCGTAGGTACCTGTATTGATTTCATTATGTTAATAATAAAAAGGTAATTTTTTATTCAATAATAGACGATATTAATATGCTATTTTTTATTAAATAAACTTTATATTCCATGTAAAGTATCTTAAATGATTTTAAATTCAACACTATTTTCAATTTTGGTTGTATATTAAACATTAAAATTAAATAAACACGTCGACGGAAAAAATATTGATAAAATCATAAATTATTGAAAGTATGCATCTCATCGTATAGAATCGAAAAAATATGCACAAAAACCAAAAAAAACTCGAAATATACATTTATAAGCAAAATAAAAGTTCAAAACTAGCTTTGTTTCAGCATGAAACGCGTATGTGTTTCTTAGGTACTCAGCTATTTTTGTGATCGTGCAAAAAACAAATACCTATGCAAATGCTACAAGTCCTCAGCTGTAATTATAACTAAGGTTAAATGGGTATAATCCTCGGTAAGGGTCAATCACCCCCTCCCCCCCCCAAAAAAAAAGAAATGAACTGTTTCAAGTTCTTGAGACTGGATATCTGTATACTAAACGTGACAATCGTGACATAATAATAAGTTTGTCGTGTTCTTTAATGTACAATCTTGAATTCCTGAGTAAACGGGATATAGATGTTATATGTATTAACAACGTAAAGTCCACCGCGCGCAAAAAATACACTTTAATTTGAACGATAGGAACAATTTTAAATTTACTTATTACCACCACTTACGAGTTACGACTTAAGAACAACCAATGAAAACATAGCCATTCAAAGCGTTAACAAAGAATTTAATGGAGCACCATAGCATTTCACATTTATCAAAATGGCCCAAATTTACCCAGAATCGCGGTCTAACCTAACCCTCAGCCTAACCTAACCGTAGATAACCATGGGGATCTAGGTGATACGTCACCAGCAGCTGTTTAATACCACATCTGATAAGAGTTTTAAATGATAGTAGCGCCCACTGAACGAATGGATCATCGCAGGAAAAATTCCAAAAGAATCCAACATGGCGACGTTACTCTTATCACTATGGTAATAGATAATTTATTGGTTATCATCACTGTGTCATCACAAACTAAGGTTATCATAAAATAATTAAAATAATAAAATAAATCTTAGGTTAATTACAAATAAAAATTACACAATAATTCAATAATAATTTATAATACAAAATACACGTTTTTCAGACTCTTTGTCCATGTCAAAAAATTCACCTTAAAAATACGAATGATCATTAGATGAATGAACATTTAATACTTCACCATTTGAATTATTCAATGAATCCCTAATTAAATTGCTTTCAAGTGAAGAAAGAGGTAGATTAATGTTTGGTTTTTTTCTATTATTTGAATAAAATCTGGTTTGCTTTTCTATGTGTTTTATATTTGTAGTTTTAGTAGGTACATTATCACTTGATTTGTTCGTTTCTTTTGAAATTATAGTAAGTATTTTATCACAATGCTTTAAAATGTTTTGTTGGCTTTCAATACTTAATGTTGCTCTGCTGTGCATGCCTAACATTGCTTCCATTTTTTTATTTATTTCCTTGTATAAATCTGTAATATTTGTCTCTGTATTATTTGAAATTTCTCTTTTCAGTTTACCATTTTCATCTGTATTATATGTATTTACATTAGATGATGGTTGAACTACTATAACATCTACTTTGGCGATCGCATGGATATGCTTACAGATATTCAAGTATATAATATTGTCCATACACGAACATTTAAATATGTGAACACAAATTTTACAATATTCACAACATAAAACACAGCCATTGCAAGGTAAATTAATTTTTTCAATAATATATTTTGTTTTAGGATCAGTTTGTGAATTAACCATCCATGTGCAGCTATTAACTTTTAAAATCATATCCGACTTAATATAAGCACTTTTATTATGACTGGTGATAATTTGTAATATCTTGGATGACCTTTTTTGTTTTGAAATCTTAATGATCCTTTCAAAACATTTATCTCGCACTAACAACATTACTGCATTAATGGCTAAATCGAGTCTTCTGCATTGCTTTCCTTCTAGATAGCAATATTTAATATTTTTATGAAGAGCTTCCAAATACATATTCGTGTTGATACCAACATGTCTGCGATTGAAAAATGCCCATTTTTCAACTCTTGAAGAATAATTGCTCGCAAAATATTGACCAAAATCTGCAGTATCTGTATCATTTTTTAAATCTTCAATGACCTTTGTTATTTCTATATAAAATTTGTTTTTATCAGTTTCATGCATTAAAGATTTTAATGTTTTATAAACCATAGATTTCTTTTCTTGTGAGTGAATTTTGGAAAGGTTTTTACTCCAATTTCTTAATACGTGCCAAGTACATAATAGTTGCTTAGAAACCGGACCCATAATAGATTGCCATGCATTATAAAATGCAGGTTCATCGTCGGACATAAATACATTGGCTTTGATAAGTCCTACTGCACGCTGGATACATTCAAAAAATAATTTATATGTAGATGTATCTGATTTATTTGTAAAACAGAATGCAACAGGGAAGCCATTTCCATAATTGTCTACTACAAGTAAAGTATACAACTGAAAGTTATAACTATTTAAACCGTGTGTTCCATCTACACATATTTTATCACATCCAAATTTTTTTAACATTTCAGCTTGGTATTCAGTCATTAAAATTAAACAAAAATCATCCCGAGTCAAATGTGTTGTGGAATCTTCTCCTTGATGCTTAAAATATAACACTGGATTTGTCTCACTTTTTTCTTTGATTTGCTCTACCCACAGGTAAACACTAACAAAATCATTTTCATGCATCTTTGTAGAATAATTATCAATTTTAAAATCACGTCTAATATTATGTATATCTCGTTTTTCTAATAAATGGATTCTTTTAAAATCAGTTATAGTAGCAGAATTTCGAACGTCATTTAAGACTCGTTGTACTGTTACACCCATACCTAGTTTGCCTAAAAAAAATGTAAACATAAATATTTTTAAACTATGATTATTTACTTTTAGGATAAGCTTTAAATAAAAAGGTATTTATCCTATTACTTTTTAATTTTTAATTTTTAATGTGACTACAAAAGTAAATTAAGCATATTTTTTGCATTTTATTATATGAGTACCTGCTAATTGGCATCTGACTTCAGTATGTAATCTTTGTTTCCCTATTTCATTATCATGAAATAAATGAGTACTACAAAATTCTATCTGAAATTGGGCTCCATTTTTGTGTACTCTAATATATGATGGACAAACCTTTCCAATTTTAACCGAACCACTACTTTTAGGATTCCTTTGACCCTTAAGTATAAAACGTATCTCATATTTTAATAATATAATTTTACTTTATAGGTCATTTATTTCAAATAGATAAAGTGTTATTACCTTGCTAGCTAATCTTGGATGGTATGACCGATGACAAATATAATACGAGTATTCCACATTATGGTGAGTTTTAGTAGATGTTCTTTGAACATATTGACAGATTTTAGTGTCTTCAATATTGGTTTTCCATTTCTTAAATTCTAAACCAAATAATTGTTTTGACAATTTTAATTTTAATTATTGGTTATTATCTATTTGTAAAATTTTTAATAAATCAAGATACCTTCTATAGTATTGAAACTTAGTGATTCTATATTGATATCAATGTTGTGATCATTTTTTAAATGCTTGGAAAAACATTTTAATGTTTTATAAGATCTGTTACAATTCTCAACTGAGCATTTAATTTTTAGTTCACTATGTTCCTGTTTAAGATGTTTAGTAATACTTTTTTTTGAATTAAATTTTTGATTGCAGTTGTCGCAAGTATAACCATTTTTCTGTATGCGATTAACCTTCCACAAAATACAAGATGATACATTCAGACATATTATTTATAAAATAAATCAAAATAAGAATTTTTAAAATAAAAATTTTGTGTTTAATTATGGCCTAACATTTATAAAACTTGATATTATAATATGTACCTGTGGTAAAAGCTCTGTATGTTTTCTTTTTAAATGTTTATTCAAATTAGATACAGTTGAAAATGTAGTATTACATAGAACACAATCTCTGGAACTCATTTCTCTAATATTGTATTGTAATATTAATCATAAATAATAATAATTATAACTGGGAACTTAGTTGTATTATTATAACACTGGTATTGAAAAACTAGTCTGTGAAATAATCTCTAAATAACTGGTTAGTTTGTATTACATTTTTAAACTTTTTTTTTGAACGCTTAAATAAATTTAAATAAATCACGAAATGGAAAAAGGCGGTATACTTCGTAATCAGTGATAAACTGATAACCGTGTGATAAATATGTAGTGATAAATGTGATAAGCGATTTGACGCCATGTTGGATTCTTTTGGGATTTTTCCTGCGAAGATCCATTCGTCCCACTGAGGTAGATACTATATTCTTATCTACATATATCTGTGGCGCCGAATAAATATTTATTCTTTGATAGTAGCTGATGATAATAGTAGTTAATACGGTGATAAAAATCTAAACAACAGTCAACAACACGTGTTTTTAAATATTTAATTTTTAATTTTTAATTGTTAATTTATATTATTAATTCTCATTATACCCACGACTGCTTACCTATTATAATGGGTAAAAAACGTAGGCGCACAGACGAGGATACCGAATTCGATTTGACCAGAAAAGCGAAAGAAGTAAAGGACGACAATGAAAAACGTCTTATTGTTATTTTAGAAAACGCTCAGTTGGAAACTGTTAAAGTAATTCAAACGTCGATTGATGATTTGACATTGTAATTTTTAACTATAATTTGTCTTAAACTTCACAGGTAGGAAAGTCTTTTGAACTACTAAACCCCGATGAACACTCACATATATTACGAAAACACGGACGAGAGATAGGAAATTGTAGACCTGACATTTCTCATCAATGTCTTTTGATGTTGTTCGACAGCCCCTTAAATCGTGCTGGCCTACTTCAAGTGTATATTCACACGGAAAATAATGTTCTTATTGAAATTAATCCACAAACACGGATCCCTAGAACATTTAAGCGTTTCGCTGGACTAATGGGTAATAATCGATCTTGATTCATATGCACATAATAATAATATTATATTATATTGAGACTTATTTGATTATACATTTTTTAGTTCAGTTACTACATAAATTTAGTGTAAGAGCAGCCGAAACATCGGCCAAATTAATGAAAGTAATAAAAAATCCAATCACCGATCATTTACCTGCAGGCTGTCGAAAAGTGGCAACTTCTTTTTCTGCTGAAAAACCTATTAAGCCATCCGAACTTGTTCCTCAAGATGCTCCAATTGCTTTTGTTGTTGGAGCAATGGCTCATGGACAGGTATTGCAATTTATATATAACTTAGTGATTCTTATTAATTATAATGATAAACTAACTTAAATTTATTATATCATAGATTAAAGCAGATTATGCCGAACAAACAGTAGCAATAAGTAACTATCCACTATCAGCTGCATTAACATGCACTAAAATATGTTCAGCTTTCGAAGACAGTTGGGGTATATTGTAAGATTGTACATGTGAATAATATGTTTTGTTCTTATTAAATTGTTTTGTATTAATATGCCTAACCTAAGTTTTCAACTTAATTTGAAGAATTTTAAAATTCAATTCAATTTGAAATTATTCATAAAAGCAAAATATTTTAACCAAGGGAACTAGTTGAAATTTAAATGCTGCAAATTGTATAGAAATCTGTTTGGAGTATATTACCTGTATTGTTGTGTAATTATTTTCAAATATATCAAATATAGGGCCTTGTGAAATGTGGGATTTAAATAGGTATATTATTTCTTAAAATATTTTTATCACCCTAATTTGGTGTTTGTATATAAATTAATATAATCAATATTGTAAAATAGTTGGTTACAGTGTTGTAAGCAATCCACCATTATTTTCAACTTTCACAACCTTTTGCATAGCCCACTGGTGTTATAATCAATCTGTCAAAAAAATACATACAAATATTTCAAACAAATTATCGAAGTAAACTTTATTAAATAGTCAGTTACATAAAATATTACAAAAAAAATAGTTTATGAAAAAAGTTGCTTTCATGTCAATAGTTGAAACCTTTGATGAATGCATATGTATCTACCATTCTTCTTCGGCCTGCCTTTCAAGCAATGGAAGAAGCTCCATTAATAGATACCCATAGAATATATTTGTTTTGTTGTACACCATAAACATTCAATGTGCTAGGTATGGACTCCAGTTAGAGAATCCATGAATGTGACTCTTATAAGTTATTATAAATGGTTAGCAAACAAATCTTAGATCATTAAAATTGTGGTAGGTCACGTACAACACTAGTTATTAATTATTATAACAAAGTATGTCTGTCATCATCAGCCTCTGGAGGGCGAAATACTTGAATACTTCCTTCTTTATTCAAATACGTATTCCGATTACAAAATAAAAGTATTCTTTACAATACTGCAGTTGTATCATTGTATAGGGTAACCCAATTTCATATAAAAAGTTATCGATACTGAGAAAAGTATTTAATAACAGCTCCCCATAAACTTTCTATGTAAGTTTACAATTTTTTTTTAGAACCATAATGTTAATTTGAATGATTCCATATTTCTTTAACAACTTATGATAATATCCCCTCTAACTGAGTGATTAAATTTACATTTATGGCTAACAAATAACATAATACACAACTTTTATTAGAACAGAGTTAATTATCGACTTGCAAGATGTATTAGACAACAAGCGTGCAGTAGTGGACTGCATACGACAAGAATACTGAATAATACTAAAACTTTCGATTTTTATTGACTACGCCACCGCTTATTTAACATTCATGTAGATCACAAGTGTAGGCATGATTTAAAATGTCCCGTATTTAAAGGTTAGAATTAGGTTTAAATTACTAATATCAACTAAAATAGCGGGGCTAGCATGCCCTAGATAGTAGTAGGTAAAGTTAGAACATATTGAAATACTATAGTGGCAATTTATTATTTTTATATTTAATCTTGAACTGTGGTTACCATTATAGTTTTGTCGCCAATAAAATAAATATTTAAGCCCCTGGATATTACTATATTTTCCTACTCACGGACTTACGGTGTAGGTGAACAAGTATACCGCAAATACAAAGATCAGATTTCTTCATTATTTTGAAAACGAAATGTAAAACAATTAGACGTTCAAAACGGCGGCCGCGAATGACGTGGGATCTAAAAGCTATTCTCTCTGAATGTAAAATATAATAATTTTTTTCCTTGAAGCTTTGAGTGGAAATAAACCAGAAGTATAACAATTCGCTAACATATTTTCATGAAACATTGCTCATGAATGTAAATGAGGGACGGTCAAACTTTGTTGTGTTGTTACGTAATTGCCTATCTAAAACGCTGTGCGATAGTGGATTTTGGTAGCAAAATTTGTTTTTTAATAGTATGAACTGCTATTTTAAATTTCAATGATGCACCATTTGAATGGACTCACCTCAATTGTGAAATCATTGTTAACTATAAAGGAACCATCTGGTTAGGTTAGGCATTTAAAACAATTTTTTATACTTTAAAAACTACTATAGGTATTAAGCAAAAATATAAGTAAGAAAACATAACACAATTTTTAAAAATACATTATTTCTCATCCACAAGATGGTAGGTAGCGTAATAGGACTTTTTTGAGGACACAAAATCACTATAGTAAATTTCAAAATTTATTTTTATCCAATAATACTAATTAATTTGAAAAAACACCTCGGTGTTGGTTTATAAATATTTGTGAAAAATGTAAAAATGAACAAATTAATATGTATATTATCATATTTGTATAACTAAGTTTAACTCACCTAATAGCTTAGTAATCACAAGTTAAATGAATCTTAGAGTTAGACATTACAAAATTATATCAACAACAATAAGTTATTACAGAAGGTAAGAGGTATAATAATAAATAAACATTACAAAAATAATAATAAAAAATTAGATTTTTTCATAATTCAGTTAAAGGTGTTTCCAATCGGCCAGTCGATATCACATTCTTTAAAAATGTATATGATGCTTTTGGAGTACGAGTTCTTTGAGGATCATTGAAATCTACATTAACAATTCCAAAATGAATTCTGAAAAAACAAAACAATTAAACCTGCATTGAAAAATAATGATTTACTGCATTAAAACATTAAATAGGTACGCTCTTTTTAAATCAAATCCTTCACATTTATCACAGACATAAAGAAGAAGAAAAATTATCAAACATTAAACAACTTACGCAAAACCATCCATCCATTCAAAATTATCCAAGAGTGACCATACAGTAAATCCTATAACATTACAATTATCTTCATGTATCGCTCGTAATGTTGCATTTAAATAGCCCTGTAAAATGAAAAAAAATATGTTAGCATCAATTACATACTGTAGTACTAAACTACTACCTTTATGTAGCTAATTCTATCAAAATCATCTAATTGACCGTTGTCTCCATATCCATTTTCAGTTATAATCAAAGGCGGATTGACATATTCATTTTTTAACCATATCAAAAGTTGTCTTAATCCATCAGGTACTGACTGAAATATTATGATTTTAATAATATATTCAACACAATTTTGATTTATTTATTACTATAAGCCAAGGTGCAACAGATGGTTTTAACCATGATTCATCTACAGAAGTAACATATTCTGCATCAGAATTATAATGACAATCTTTATCATTTCCTCTAGTTACCAAACGAGAAGAATAATGATTGAGAGCATAAAAATCAGCTGTACCTAAAAAACACATTCATATTTGTTTTAAACTTTTAACCATGTAACTGGAACATAATAAATTATCTGGTTATGTTATCTGTTAAACATGCACCTTTAATTAATTTTATTTCATTTTCTGTAAATGTTGGTAATGTTGACCACGGTCTACCTTCTTCTTCACTTTTTTTATCAACCCATTTTCTCATTATGGGTGGATAGTCTCCCTTGTACACTGGATGACTGAACCACCCTCTCTAAAACATTATATAACAATATATTATAATAAGCTAATTTATCTTATAAATAATTGAATAATTATACTAACTAACTATTTTTGATACCTACCTCAAATTGATTGGCTCTTTCAGCAGTATTTATATCATCAACTGAGTCAGAATTTTTAGGCATAAAAAATACTCCATTTATTGAAATACTTATTTTTCCTATAAAAAAATTAGGTTTTAAGACTTATTATATTACAAACTCCTATTGGCCATTACCATTTGATTAATACCTTGTTGTGTAGGTTTGAACATCTCTTCATACAACCTATATGCTTTTCCATGTGCAATAAGTTGTGTATGAGCTGCCAAATACAATCCAGTGTTGTTTAAATTCAAGTATGGTGCATAACCTTTAATAGCATAACCTTTACAAACCTCCATTGGTTCATTAATTGTTATCCACCATTTTACCTATTATAAGTATAAAATGTAGATATTTCATATTTTTCAAAAATGTATTTAATTTACTCTGTCTCCGTAGTAAGTAAATAACACTCTTGCATATTCCTTAAAATAATCTGACATAATTGGATTAACCCAGCCTCCAAGATCTTGTAGGTTTTGTGGTAGATCCCAATGATACATTGTCACCTGCAGATAATTTAAATTTTAAATTATAAATTATATTCTTACTTCATCCTTTATTTTTAACTATAAATAATACTTACCAAAGGAATAATATCATTATTGATAAGTTCATTGATAAGACGGTTATAGTATGCTATTCCTTCTAAATTTAATGAATTCATAACTCCAGTTGGTGCTATTCGAGCCCATGATATTGAAAAACGATATAACTTCAACTAAATAGTGAAACATCTATGTATTATTTATGATATATTAAAATTTGAGTAAAAAAGAAAAAAATACATTTAAATTCTTTGCAAGTGCTACATCTTCTTTATACTTGTGATAGGAATCACAGGCAATATCTCCATTAGTCCCATCTCTTATTAATTCCGGACTAGTATGTACCAAATGATCCCAAATATTTTCGCCTTTTCCTAAAGAATTGACATAATTACATTTAGTATTACAAAAATAAATAATTATTCATAGAATACATTAATATAATTAAATAAGTAGCAGTTCACTGTAATATTTAAAATTTTGTTAGATTATTGAATAATATGAATTGTATACATAATATGCTATGTAGACGATAGGACAAACATGTATATTATGTATGTATTAAAGTTATAAATGTTTTGTTTATTTAACTATAATTTGACAATTTGCATACCGTCTTCATTCCAGCCTCCTTCAATTTGATATGAGGCAGTCGAAGCACCAAACATAAATTCATTTGGAAATTTATAATCCATATTGAATATTTGAATCTAAATGAGAAATTATATACATCTTATAAGTAATGCAAAAACTAATTTCAATCAACTTTTGAAGTATTGTATTTATAATTACTGATTAAATATTGTTTAGTCCAACGAGAAACTTGAGATTAATCAACCCCTGTAAAACAAAAATGTATCATTAAATATTATAGGTAACCAATATAAGTATTAATATAATAATATATGATAGCGACTATAAGTATCTAAATTGATAGAAAACTATACAACTATCAAATACGTACCTACTAATAGTTAATGAGAACTAACATTTTCTGCATTTACCTTATTATGTTATTATGCATGGTATTAGATCTTAGAATATGTTATTCCAATTTAATTATAATTATTTTTTATGATTAATCTTTGATACCTATAATGAAACAAAAACAACATTGTAATTAGTTCTACTTCTTGTTTTGTTGACTGTTGCAAGTATTGATAATATTTTAATCTTTTTTATAATCTGTTAATAGTACAGTTGAATATTCTGAATAGATTATATAATGACATTTTAAAATTATTAAGACATACTTATTTTTTTTGTTCATCACATCAAATAAATACTCATTTTTATAATTTATTTATTATCTTCTACAGATTACAGCTTTATAGGCTTCCCATATGATGTCCTTAGCAATATAAATTGGTATTTAGTACAATCTAGTTTGCTGCAAACAGAAATAGTCTAAATAGGCTGAAATAGTTTTGTAATTTTATTTCATACTTACAGCATCAATAAGGTGTTTAACCCTTTAATGTGGGTGGGGGGTGAGGGCTGAGGGGGTAGATCCCTCATTACTTTTTTTCGATGTTTAAGATGTGACAATTATAAATTATATATACAGTGATTAAATAACTTCTCCACTAAATATTGTTACTAATATATGCACTATAATTAGATCAAACTTAATATTCTTAGAAGCATGTGCATTTGAACATTTGAATGACACGTTGTTTGTACAAAAATTGAAAATGCATAGTTTTACATCTCAAATGTTTAATAGATTTTTAAATATTAATTCACATAATATTATTATATAAAATATACATTATTCATAAAAAATATTGTTTGGAGTAAAAAAACAGTTAGTACAGCCATACAGATTTTATGGATCATTATGGGATCGATTTACTTTATTACTGATTTAATAAACATGTTAAAAAGGCTGATAATTTGGGTACAAAGTGTAATGTTAATTGGAGTATTTAGGTTTGTTTATCAATACATAAAAACTAAAAACTATATTAATATACTGTACATCTGTGCATAATTAAAAATAACATGTAAAAATAAATCGTATAAATATTAAAATTACTAAAATTGCATTATAAAAGTAGATCATCTATTAAACTTCTCAGACGCGCTATTTCAATAGCATCAGTTTTACAACAGCCTCCAAATATTTTCAATCCTTTTTTATTCCATATGTTAAGATCATCTATAGAAACTTTATATATTTGAGTATCGTCATAACTGAAAACATAAATCCAATAAAAAATATTTTTATTTATACCTTAAATAAATATTAAATTACCAATTTTGAGTGACATCCCAAATTCCACCTCCGTTTGGATAAGCAATAAAATTAACATTTTTAGTCTTCACAGACATCAAAAGTGGTGTAATAAATTTTGGGTGCAAACAATTCATACCAATGGCAATTAACTGTTTGCGGTAATCGTTTGACCAAAACATTTCAACAGCACTTGAAAATGTTTCACCGTGACTCAAATAATTGCCGTCCTAAGAAAGGTATTACAAATATCAATAAAATGCCTATAATAGGAGCTACCTATCAACAATAAAACTTTCCCATTGATTTTTGATCATACCTAATTATCAATTTCTTTTTTCTTTTTATAAATTAAATTTTAACTTAACTTCTAGATTATAGCTTATAACTATGTTTTCAGTTAAAACAAAATCAATTAAAAAAATAATTTTGTTTCAATTCCTATATACGTTGATAACTAATATTATAAAAAACTTTTAAGTTTGTATTGTCTATATCTATGTTAAGTTACATGCTGTATTTAAATTTTTAATTACATCAGTGATCAGTTGTACATAAGTACTTAACATAATATATTTATCAAAGATCTGAAAAGATTATACCTAGCATTCTTCTTGTGTAGCCTACTTTTGACTTAAAGTCATCAATTATCTACAGCATCAAAATTCAAAATCTATTTTTATAGTGAGCTCTTAATTCACAGTAATGAGTTTTTTTATATATTGTAGATTTTGACAAGTTATCATTTTGAGAACAACTTTTCACAAGTATAGTAAATAGTTACAGGAATTATGTTTTATGTATTTATGTTTGATTGTTAATTTATTTATTTTTAGAGGATCTAGAGCGTGCAGCAGCTTACTCTGCAAGCTCCTTGGTTTGATAGCCATCTATGGAGTTGACAAATTACAATTATTTATTATGATGGTAAAAAGAATTACCTTGCATGAGAATGATAAACATGCTTTTTGATTTGGAAATTCAGTTAGTATGCTTAGCAAAATAGTAGCCTCAACGACAGAAGGTATGGTCTCAAAAAGCATTAGATCGACTCCAGCTTCCACCAATGCTTGAATTCGAGGTTTGTGCCAATCATACAATTCTTTTAAATTCATGGTGTCTATGTAATTACCATTATATTCTGAACAATCACGTAATGATGCACCATATGAACCAATAGATCCCATTATTTGTATATTGCGTTCTGTAAATTAGTTTATATTAAATTATCATAAACTATTTTAGTGATTCATTCCACAGACCATAGCCTTCTATAAAAATACTACTTAGGTATACAGGTAGAATATATTACTTTTATAGACGGGTAATAATTAAATGTAGAAGCATAATATAATGTTTGATTTACGAGAGGTACCGTAATTTAAGGAATCATTTAGTTACCTACATTTGCCTCTGTTATTGCTCGCCGACAAATCATAACAGATTTCTTAATCAATTCAAAACTCTGATCATAATTTAGGTCCAAATATTTTTGAAAGCCTCCAATGCTTGCTTGGTATGTGTTGGTGGTCAAAAAATCGGCTCCAGCTGTAGTATAGGTAATAAATAAATACACATGAAAATTAATAAAATAAAAACCATTTTCTCTGATATGTATCTATAACAATAACCTCTGATGTAATCTTTATGACCACGGATAACAGCATCTTCATTGTTTAAAATCAAATGTGATCCCCAAAGTGGATGTTTTATAACACTGTCAATATCCACATAAGGTGTTACACCACTAATAAAGCTGCCATCCAAGAGGTACATTTTGTTATTTGGTATCATTAAATCCATAATTAAAAAAAAAAATTATTTCTTTGGTACCTGTACGACTTTGGGGCCTTATGAAAACAATTTTAAAAAAACAACAATTAATTGCTTAGCATAAATAACAAAGTAGTAAAATAATAGGTAATAATAAAGTCGTTAAACACTTCAAACATTCAACAGCTAATAAGTGATAACTGATAAGGTAAAATAAAACGTATTGTAATGAATCTGTTAATTAACATAATACAGTAATTAGTAATACCTGTCCGACTAATGGACTTTAATCAGTATGATTGTAGGACAGTAATCTATAAATAGATAATAAGTAATAGGTAGTATACTAGTATATTATAATAATTTATCAATTATCAAGTAACAGGCAAAGTACCTAGGCATCAACTCATTCGAGTAATCAAAGGGCAATATTGAGCAAAGGGCCAAAAACGTATCGCAAATCGCAATGTACAATTTTATTGTTTGATACACAAATAGGTTACCTATATCATAACTCATAACAGTGGCGTACGTAGGATTTTTTTAAGCGGGGCGTCATACTTCATAATAATATACACGAATTTACCTTTATTGTTGTTTTTTTGATCGTCACTAAAAATTCATCTACCACTATAATATGTTATGATAAATTAGTCAATACAAATAAAATAAAATAAAACATTTGTACATAATATATATAATCAAGGTTACAAAATACTTATTTATAAAATAAAGTCAGTACGACGGTTTTGTTTTGCCAATACTTTGATTACTTCCCCTAACTTCAACATCAACTTTGCGGTGAATATTAAGAGCTGCTAAACCATTCAGTCAACTGACCAACAGAATTTCAAATGTATGTCTTAATTCTTTTTAGTGTAGAAAAACTTCTCTCTGGTTCACACGATGACACGATGTAACAGGTAGTGTTGCAAAAATTTGAAGCAGTTTGAACACATTTGGAAAGAGGTCTTTATTGCATTTATCAAGAGCATCTAGAAGACCATTTACACTTAATTTTTGCAAAATGTGCCACTTCAAAAACTTCTTGATCAATATCATTTGAATAAAATTCATTTAAGTCTTTGATCACTTGGTTATCATAATTTTCATTAGAAATTAGAAAGCAAAAGCCAGCTATAATATTTTTATGGTTTAAAAATCCGTCTTTTAATTGTTGAACCAAGCTGTCCACAAATGGTCCACAATATACTAATTAAAAAAAAAATTTCAGGTTCATCTGTAGAATAATTTGATCTATGTTTTCGTCGCTTAACCTTTCTATGGATAGTAATTTCAAAATCCATTTTCTTTGACCTTTCTGTGAGCTCTTCAAAATACTTGTGAAACTCATCATCACAATTTTCTCTTATTTTTTGAGGTTCAGAAATTACTAAGTTAATAAGATAAGCTTGAAATAAATAGATGTTGTTTTTTTGTAAATATGAACAAAGAATTTTTCTATATTGAAATATTTTATGAATGACAATAAGGCTTACATTAAATTCTAACGTTTGAATAGCTGAAAGTAACTGGGCTGATCTTGATGATGTTTCAGTGAGAAAATTTCAATTTTTTTTTTTTAGTTTTTTTATTCGAACAGATACTTGTTTAAGAGGGGTGTCATATCTCCCTGGCACTTCCCCCTTGCTTCGCCACTGACTCATAATATTGTAATGCAATTTTTTTTTTTAAATTAATTTTAAATATAAGACATTTCTAGCCTAAGGCTATCTATATATAGTGATGTTTGACAATTTACATATTAGTGTTAACAGATTAACGTGATAATTAAAAATATTTTTAAGTACATTTTATGGATAATTGACGATTGGGGATTTTAAATGTACAGAAGTTATGTGATTATAATAGTACTCTAATAGATATGGTATGAATGGTCGGAAGGTGTAAGATGATTTTGTTCGTTTAATTAAGGATTGGGGTTTTGTTTATTAGGCATGTTAGAGCAGCTAGGAGGGGGTTTAGGGCTAATTTTAACTCGTTAAGGAAATTGGTGACGATTTGCAAAGGTTGATCGGGTGGTGGAGTTTTCGTTGTAGCTTCGGCATATGACTATATGAGGGTTTTTCTTTTGGGTTTGAGCTTAGCGCGTCATGTCCTCTTCTGTGAGTTGAAGTAATGTAATAACATTCACAATATTATTCAGACTGAATTGCATCAATAATGAATTATTGAAATTTGAACATAATAATATAATTGGTACCTACCTGTATTATAATCTAAAATTCAAAAGCCACATCACAGGTAGGTCGCCCACTCGTTACCTACTTTTGTTTACAGTTAGATTCTTGCTCAGAGCTCAGCAGATATATTATATATATCTCAAACCGTGATGCTCAAGAGTCAGTACTTCAGAAGAGACAGCTTTTTAATGGTGAGGACTGAAGACTGAAGAGGTGTAAAATGTTCTCACCCCACCTGGGACTGTATTATTCATTTTATAGCTACCTCGAAAGTTGAACTTTTATTATAAGTTCTCTTCTTAAAGATTAAATAAAAATAAAATAATATATTATTTTACAATAATTAGATACAGAAAATCGTCGTAACGTTTATGAAATATTGTAGGTACACGTCAATTATAAACATATGAACGAATAGTTATCGTATTTATTTTACTAATGCGTGCAGGATAAATCGTTATAAACTTATAACTTATGTAACATTATAATACTGTTTATTCGTTTTCACTTGTGCTATACATATAATATTATTTAGATACATCATGGACAATAATACCAATATGACGGGTTAGTAGGTATATGGTCAATGTTTCAATAAATCGGATCACGGACTCGGATCCCCGCCTTCGCAACAGCACAAGCTCACTCTGTTCGTGTAGATCAGATATTCAATGGCCTCGGTCAGCATGTCAGCGTTGCGTTTCCGGCGGAAGTGTTCCGGTCCGTACCGATCGCACAGCGCCTGTTGCAACGTGTCCACCCGGACGCCACCGCGGTGGCAAGACCACCGGACCACCGTGTCCGCGACGAACGTCACCAAACAATCGAATTCCCGTTCCATGTCAGACATGTCGTATGGGTAGGTAAAAGGTAAGTGGTACCTATATCTGCTATGGTAATGGTATACGGTTACGATGTAAGACGTGTTTGTGGTACATATTATAATAATAATTTGGACGACGGCGAGAAGAATATATCTGCGCAGATTTGGTATAGGTACCTGGTTGTTGTGGCAACGGCATTCGTTATATTAAAAGCACAGGGCAGGACAGGTCGATTGCGGCGGACTATGAATTATGTACGTGCCTATACTAACAAATATAGGCCGTAGGTAAACTTGAATGAGCAAACACGGAGGAGATCTAAGTTTAAAGGAAAAAAAAATCAATAATAAAGTTCAAACAATTATGTATATCTTAGAGTTAATATTTTGTATTGAATATTTATAGGTAGATATAACCATAATGTTATAGTGTACTGCTCTGATGGTCGTAACGACTCGTAACTATTGATTGCGAACTGTGTTGATTACAACAATAAAACAACCATTATAAGTACGCAGGTATATTATGTTGCCTATATTTTTTTTGGTATTCATGTCGTATGCGGTCTACCGCACACTTGTCGTCTACCACGTAAGTTTCTACACGTCATATGCGGTCTACTGTCGCGCATCTATGTATTTTAGGTCATTCCCGTTGATCCGACGGCTATTAAGCTTTATCTTATAGATACAGATACAGATACGAAAATCAGTTACAGTTATTATTATTATTATTATTATTATTATTCATGGTACATCTCCATCATTGCTGCCCTCGTATTTAGCGGAACAATGGTGGCGTCTAAAAACAAGAATGACAACACATTTGATTGTTTTTTAAGAGATGTGAAATTATATTGTACCTAATTTAAATTGACTAATACATATTTCTATATATTTTTATATTTTTTGTCGGTTAGTTTTTAATACATATACTAATTAAATTTACCTACATACATATTATAATGAAATTCTAAATTTATGTAGGTATTCATTCATATTTTTAACCATGTTGTAGACCGCATGCGTGGTAGACAAAAATGTGCGGTACCTACCTAGAATCTAGATGCGGTAGACCGCATATGACGTGTAGAAACGGTCGGTAGACCGCATACGACATGATTACCTTTTTTTTTGTAGTTTGTTCGAAAATGTTTATAGGACGGTAGTCATTTTACATTTTCGATTAAAATCGTATACTTCCCCTTTCGCCTTTCGGCCATATCAAACATATATCTAAGCATGCATTAGAAATATACGTTTTACAAAAATTATTTATTTTGTATTAATTGTTGTTATGGTATAAACTCGAAGAACATCAATAAAATAATTAACGACAAAATAGGTGTCTAATATAATACCAATAGGCCTATTCATGTCTTAAAAAATAATTCATCAATATTGTAAGTTGTAGCTTCAAAATGTATGGTCCAGAATTGTATACAAATTATGTAAAAAACATGGGAAAGGTGACAAGGGCGCCTGCAGGCTAATACATTTCAAGAAGCAAAGATAAATTTCAGAGTAAATTATGGAGTCGGGATACATAAGCTGAAGTCTGCAGTCTATAATCTCCAGGTTAATTAACCTGACAATCTTTTCATAATTAGTTTATTAGGCAACAACTGATTAATCAGATGTCTCCTTAAAATACCTGGTTTATGTTTCAAAAATGTACATAAATATAAGTTATATCAATGAAAATAAATTTGATCAGAGGTTTTTGAAATTGCTTCAATGTGTTATAATTTAATCTGAAATCTTTATTTTTATTTTGAACATTTTTCCTCTATAGTTGATCTGTTTTTAATTTTTATAGACTTTTTAACCGTTGACAACCAGATAGGTACCCCCTAAATTTTTTTTTTAAGCGAATATGCCTGTTATCCAATACTCATTTTTTTCGTTAATTTAACTGAATTGATTTAATAATATAAATATTTTAAACATTGACACGCTATCTCGAGGAGACCTCTGACCTATGAATAATCGTTCTTAAATTGTCATTTGTACCTATAAAACAGTATATGAAATAAACTTAGGTTAAATTTTTGAGGAGCGTCTGAATTAGAATTTTGACAAAATACTTAAAAATTATGAAAATATGTAATTATTTTTAGTTAGAAATTTATAAGAAATTGTCTTTTCAAATCTATGATTTGACTAACTGGAAAGTCAAATTAAATTTTTATGGGCTTTTGAAATTTAAATTTTTCCAACATTGGATTATTCACTCGATGTCTCATATTACGATTTTTCTATTTCGTTGTAACTCAAAAACTATAATGACTGTAGATACTTGACATTTACACCATGTTTATTTTATAATTTCCTAAACTAAATGCAACTATCGAAATATTTTTATTTGCTTTGAGCTGTTTACTGACATCTTCAGCTTTCAATTTGTTTAAGTTTTTTTACTGTAGATATCAATAAAATGTTATTTGTTTTACTTTTAAAAAAGCTTGAAAATTTAATACACGACTCCTGACATATTGTTACAACAGCGAGCAGTTGAAAAATATTAAAAATATGTTGGGACGATTTTTTTAGACAACCATTTAAAGTTCAAAATGTATCTCATGGAAAATGTATAAAATGATCGACTTTTATAGCTCAAAATTGAAAATCTAAAACAAAGTCCATGTAAGTGGGTTATTTGGTCACCAAAAAATTTAAAAAATGTATAAAAGCAGTATTTTTGTGTAGTACTTTTAAGTAATTTAAAAATATTTCTGGGGGTACTTGAAACTTCTAAAGTAAATTACTACATACAAAGTTGATCGTAAACAAATAATATTAATTCAACCTACCGGCTACAATACTAACAATAACAATGTAAATATAATATAAGATATCCTAGGCCATGAACTATGATTAATCATTGTTCATGTCCTAGGCCGACAAACCGTCTTCGCTCACAATCGTTTTTCAGATACAATGACATAAGGCACCTACATCATTAAATTCAAATTTAACACCATCCATTACAGTGACCCAGTTTCCACCTACTGAATAACAGACTTACCAGCTTTTTTTGTTTTTTTATTTCCTGGGTTATTTGGCAAATGTTAATAAAAAATGTTCACTGTCAAAAATAAAAATACTAAAAATGTTAACACAAGATTCCTTATTAGTTTTTATTATTCAAATGGTCATTTATAAAATTAAAGATACCGACTTGCTTATAATGCAAGCATTTTTTAAAAATATATATGCTTTATATGCTATTTTTTAAAGATATTTGAAATTCAAATTACAATGAAATTACATATTGAAATGAAGAATAATGATATTAGTTATTTTGTTGAAATTCAAAATCATTATTCAAAACTTAATAACAATAATATGATATGATATAAATAAGCAAAATTAAAATAATTAAATATTAATAATATAAAAAATGTAAATGTTTTCTTTTCTTTTACAATTCAGATGTCTTACTACAAGAATTAGTTGTCAATTGGCCAGTAGTTACCACATTCTTGAAAAATGTATATGACGCTTTTGGGGTACGAGTTCTTTCAGGATCATTGAAATCTACCTTAACAAGTCCAAAATGAATTCTGAAAAAACAACAAAAATTAATCTTACATGAAAACCTTATATAAAACTAAAAAATAATGATAGACTATATTATCACATAAAATACATTATTTAAATTATAACAGTATATGTCACATCACTCACATCCATCAAATTTATTCATAAACAAAGTAATATGTTTTTAATTGGCTAATAAAATATATATAATATTACTTACGCATAACCATCCATCCACTCAAAATTATCCAAGAGTGACCATATAGTAAATCCTAAAACATTACAATTATCTTCATGTATAGCTTGTAATGTTGCATTTAAATAGCCCTGTAAAATAAAAAAACTGTAATATCTATTACCTACTTGTTGTCATACTAAAATTCTACCTTTATGTAGCTTATTCTATCTAAATCATCCAATTGACCATTATCTCCAAATCCATTTTCTGTTATAAACATAGGTGGATTATCATATTCATTTTTTATCCATACCATAAGTTTTCTTAATCCAACTGGTGCTGTCTGAAATATAATGATATTAGTAACATACATGACACAACTTTGATTTAATTAATACTATTAGCCATGGTGCGGGAGATGACTTAGGCCATGATTCATCAACAGATGCATAATAATTTGCAATTGAATTATAATAAGAATCTGGATCACCACTTTCCTGAGTTACCAACCGAGAAGAATAATGATTGAAAGCATAAAAATCAGACGTACCTACAAGAATGTAAACATCATTTTTGTAACTATGTTATGGAAACTTTATAAATTATTTATAGGTATTTAGTATGTTATCTATTGAACATATACCATACCTACCTTTAATTAATTTAATTTCATCTTCTGTAAATTTTGGTAGTGTTGACCATGGACTACCTTCTTCTTTACTTTTTTCATCTATCCATTGTCTCATTATTGATGGATAATCTCCTTTGTACACTGGATGACTAAACCAACCCCTCTACAAACATGTTATAAACTCTAATGAGTACATATTATATCTTACAAACTGTAATGTGAAATGTGTTAAAAGTATCCAACCATTATCAATTTTACAATTGAATAGAAAGAAAGACATTTCCGCTTGCGGAATAAATACCAAAACATTAAAAGAGGTATATTTAGAGTCATTAATGGCTTTGTTATTCCATACATAGTAAAATATAAAATTTGTGAACATTCAGAATTTAGCAGCTTTATCACAGTACAAGATCCCATTCCTCATATTTTCTTCAGAATTATTTAGCCAAACATAGCATTATTACTTTCCACCTAGCCGCTACATTCTTGACATGGCTCCTTGTAACTTTAAGCTCCCTTAAAAGTTTTTATAGTTTTCTGAATATAAGGTCAAACCTAACATTACAAATATTGTGTATCAATTACTTTATTTGTTTTACATTTTATGTTATATAACTTTTTGTTTTGGTTGAAAAGTGAGTCGACCGAAATGAGAACGGTATATTTTTAGTCAAAAACGGTCACGCCCAGTTGAATACTTATAGTTTATACCTCATACATTGTGTAAGAAAATTATTCTATTACATCAAATTGATTGGCTCTCTCAGCAGTATTTATGTCATCCACTGACTCAGGATTTTTTGGTAAGAAAAATAATCCACTAATTGAAATGCTTATTTTTCCTGAAAAAAAAATATTGATAGTATTCAAAATGTAATTACTATGTGTATTACACTTTGCTGTATACCTTGTTGAGTAGATTTAAATTTCTCTTCATACAACCTATAAGCTTTTCCGTGGGCAATGAGTTGTGTATGACCTGCCAAATAATACCCAGTATTGTTTAAATGCAAGTATGGTGCCAAAGCATTAAATGCATAACCTGTAGAAATCTCTAACGGCTCATTGATTGTAATCCACCATTTTACCTATGATGAGTATAAAATGTAAAGATGGTTCATGTTTTTCAATTATTTATTTTACTTACTCTGTCTCCATAATTTGTAAATAACACTCTTGCATATTCTTTAAAATAATCCGACATAATTGGATTAACCCAACCACCAAGATCTTGTAGATATTGTGGTAGATCCCAATGATACATTGTTACCTGGATAACACACCATTTTAATCGTTGTCCTTTATTTTAATCAAATAATACTTACAATTGGTATAATATTATTTTTAATAAGCTCATCAATAAGACGATTATAGTATGCTATTCCTTTTTGATTTAATTTATTCATTACTCCGGATGGTGCAATTCGAGCCCATGATATTGAAAAACGATAAAATTTCACCTATAGAAATTATAAATTAAAATATATTTTGAGTAAAAAAATCAATCTCTAGTATTACATTTAAATTTTTTGCCAGTGCTACATCTTCTTTATACTTGTGGTAGGAATCACAGGCAATATCTCCATTTGTTCCATCTTTTATTAATTCTGGACGTGTATGAACCAAATGATCCCAAATATTTTCTCCTTTTCCTAAAGAATTGACATACTTATTTATTTAAAATTTATATTACTACAATATGTTTTAGTGGCTTTGATATAGGATCAATGGCATAGTTTAATAATTTAATTTTATAAATATGTATATTAAATATTTTATATATTTGATGTGTAAGGAATGTTTGTTTACCATCTTCATTCCAGCCTCCTTCTATTTGATAAGCAGCAGTTGCAGTACCAAACATAAAGTCATTTGGAAATTTATAATCCATTGCATTTGCATGAGAAATAATAAAAATCACAAGCAAGGATGTAATTTTTGTCATTTGAATATTGAATTTTAATGAATTGTGTAAGAACGCTGCTACTGTTATCTTAATAGAATAGTTGCTCTTCAAATGAATAAGCACCTATATATATATATATCTTAAACGATGTCTGGTTATTAATCAAACCCTATAAAATAAAAAGTGTATTAATTATAAGTGCTACCTACTTACCTAAGATAATCATAGTAAACAAATTAGATGAAAATCCTAATGTATTATATTAGTATGGAACTAGAAAATTTATAATCTATGATTACAAAGGTTAAACAGCATGTTTTTATCTTTTTTCATACATTTTGTAAAGTATGAGACATTTATTATTTAAATGCAATAATAAATAATTTGTTTCATATATGTGTTTACTTTCCAAAAACTTAACGTAATTATACCAATTATAAACGATTATAGCAATGTTAGTTCATCAGTAGGTACATAATGCCTATACTCAAATAATTATGAATTATGACAATATTATAATATTAGCTTTTCTATAAACACGATTGAATTAAACATTAAGTCAAATATATCTAAGATGGAGTTCCTTGTACCAACACAATTAGATTCTTCAATAGTTACATCCTGGATATAGGTAGGTAAATAATAATTAAATATCCAGGTACCTACCTATACAAGATAGGTTTTAAATCTTAATCTATAAATATGGCTTGAACTTTAAAATTTGTTGGGCACTTACATGTATAGACTCAATATATTCATTATTCAGACATTTCAGACATTTCAATTTTAAAAACTTCATGAGTGTTATGAAATTATTGTAACCAAAACGAAAAGTAATTAGTTATTTTTCTAAAATAAATATGTTAAGTGGTAGGTAGGTACTTTTTAGGTACTTAACTTCTAAGTACAGCTGATACCAAAGTACATACATAGGAATAATTCAATAATGCGATGTGCAAAAACTACAAAATCCTCTTATACTTAGCTGCCAAATGAGCATATTATAAATATAAATATTTGAGTAGGGTAGAAGGCAGGCAACTACTTAGTACTTACTTCCTATCAATCTATTATGAATGTGATAAATGATAATATTTGTTTTGATAAATATTTTGTAGGACCAATCGGCAATCATGCAACGAAGAATGAAGAGTGTGTAGTTGAGGTAGAGTGTATAATAACACAATAATATAATAATACCTTTAGGTCATAATTATTATTATACTATATAGTCATAATAGAACAATAATATAATATTATGGAAGATAATGCCTAAAGTATTTTCTTTAAGCCATAGACATAAACATAATATAGCCTATGCTTTCGACAAAGATATTCTATAGAATAAATTAAAATAAATCAGAATAAAATCGTCCACAAGGCCGTAGCTGAGGGAGAGGAGTTCAGACTACCCGAAATTAACATATTATCCACATTTGAAATTTTAAAATTTGCTTTTCAAAAAACATATTTATACTCCAAACCCCCTAATGACCGTGCATGCATGTATGTTGGAATAATTAAATAAGTGGTTCAAAGTATATTAAAAGAATGGATGAAATGTCTTTCTTTCAAAGAAATTTTCATTCCTTAGGTCTCAGATTATGACCACGTAAGTCGTAAATGGTATCAGGCCTTTTTTGATAATTTGGGATAAGGTGGTAACACAAACACATAGTTAATAAATTATACATAAGTACCTGTAGCGTATGTCTAGGCACAGAATAGATTAAATTCAATCTATTCTGTGGTCTAGGTATACACTGGCTGATAATTTACGGTCCGGTAATATTTTTTGAGTTTTGACAGCCTGTCCCAGCCCGGGAATAGTTTTTGACAGCCTGTCCCGGCCCGGGAATAGTTTTTAGTGTGAGTAAGCCTGGCCCAATCAGGCTCTGTAAAATGTTTAGAAAGCCCGGCCCGATTATACTTTTTGTTTAGATACCTACCAATTACTTATTGTGTTTCAACGGGTCTGAGAACGTTGTCCGGTTTATCAAAACAAGTGGTTATAAATAGTTTATGTCATCGCCACACGTCTAGTCCAGCTGTTATTTAACATTAATACATTATTATAGTTCATTCATTGTTCTTCAAAATAAAATAGCAAGTAAATTTCATCATACCTCTCACTTGTCTATAATTTATATTCGATAGCAAAGTACCCATGTTTTTTTTTTTTTTTACAATTCTGGTCTTGCTAGAATTTCTCATTTTTCATAGAAGCCTTGCCCGGCCCGGATTTGCAAGTCCAGCCCGGTCCGACCCATAACTCTTGGGGCGATTGTAAACTCGGCCCGAGGAAAAAATAATGTTTGAAAGGTCTATTGTAAATTATAGGCCCGTGTTTTTTCCAGGTAAAAATTATTTAGGTGTTAACTCGGCCCGGATAAAATGTTTTTATATAATTTTCTTATAATATTTTTAAGAACCATTTAGCATTACCCAGAGGACACCACGAGGAGGCGATTCTCATTATCCTCCAAAAATTATTTTCATTTTCGTATTATTATTCATAGTATGAAAATCGTTATATAACTGTAAAATGTATTTATGTAAATTTGTAATTGTAAAAAGTGTAAAAATATAATGTACAAATCTATTTTTTAAGTAAAAAGCCATGTGTTTAACGTATTCACTTACTGATATTTCCTTATTTTTATATTTTGTAAGTGTTCTTTTCTAAGAGTTCTCTTTTTTTTTTTTAGTTTTCGTATTCTGAAATTGGAATGGTGCATCTAGGCTGTTGATTTTAATGTACGTTTCTGTTTGTATATCTTTTAATTTCGCAATGACGAAATATATATTGGGGTGAGTGGAATTGAAACTTGAATTAAAATGCGCATGGAACGATTCACATGCATTAGTTGTTAAGCACGTATCAACTGATGCACAGCCGCACAGGCCCACAAATCAGGTGGAAACATAGCATCTTCTATTCTTCTACTACGTAAATATTATCGGGCCGAGATTACAACCGACCTTTTTTATTACGTGAAATTTCCGGGCTGAGTTTACAACATAAAAGGTAATCGCGGGCCCAGTTTACATTTGCCCAACTCTTGTCCTCATATAGGTCCGGCCCGTGCAGGTCTTTACTAGTTTTCTGGGTATATATCTTACACTCTAAACCATAGAGTAAAGAATATAAACTAAACAGAGTAGGTAGGTAAAAACTATAATCTCAATCTCAAAGCGAACATCAGAACGGAAGCCCAGGCCGGCGGGTGTATGCGACACAGGGACCGGGTCATCGGTCGAGAATAGGAGCAATACAAGCAAGAGACCAATATTTATTTGTGTAAATTGGAAGACGATTGAGCGTCTGAGCGCTATCAACAATCGACAGATGTTACTCGGGTGTTTTTTATTGCGTGTATTTAAATTTATTCGCCAATAAATGATTGCAGCAGAAGAGTAGTATTGACGTATTGTTAAAACAGAGCCTCGTCCTCTGCTATCGGTTAAACAGGAAAACGAAAACAAAGGTAAAAAACTATGTTTACAACTCTATCAGTTAAGGTACACGGGTATGTAGTGGCGTAGTGCTAAAATAAATTAAAACTTAACTTTATGTCGGAAAATTTTACGCGCACATGGAAAAAACAATGAAAAAAATTGTATAATCCATGTAAATATCTAGCGTCAGCCGTGCGCTAAATTGGCATCTATACTACAATATAGTGAATACAATTTGATTTGATTTAATCTTATTATGTAGTTATTTCTATTATAGATACATTATTACTTACCAGACGCTTATACCCGAGTAGCATTTTCAGTGCTGTCAGTGTTTAAT